ACAGCTATCATATCCTGTGAGAGTCAAGCGGCCATTCAGCTTGTCTGCAGCTTGTGTTCTGCCATATCTGGGACACGATCAACACACTTGAAGTCAATATGAATTTTCCACCTGCTTCTAGGGGCACAGAACTAGCTTGAAGAAGAAAGAGTAGGTGACATCTTTAAACAAAAAATATATGTTATTAATAAAATCAGTTCAAAAATCGGGTATCTCTTACTCGAGTTCAAAAGCTGGAATTCAAAAAGGCAGCTCTTAAGAAAGATCTAAAGGATCTTAAACAAATACAATTAATGATGTAAAAATGTTGTAAAATACAAGAGACTTTCCTGGGGCTTTCATTTATTGTACCAGTTCTTCCAAAATTCATAGCTGTCTATAGATGCTCACACTTTTGGACCAGCAATAATTAAAGAGTATTTTTAAAAAATAAATAGGTAATTAAGCATAAGTGGAAACACTGTAACATCAATCTAAAAAGGATAGCATTTGCCCTCTAAATCTCCTGTATACGTAATACCCAAGTTTTTCAACTTCACCTGACCCGTATAAAGAACAAACACAAATTTATTGCAGACCTCCTAATCTTATTTCTACTATAAACAGATAGAGAAAATAATCTGCCAGCCTCACCATTTGTCTGTCATTTACAACTAGCAAGCTTATTGCAGACACTGGAACATGAAGGGTAAGGAGTAAAAAATAATCAGAATTTCCAAAAAGACTGCTTGCTCGTTTTTCAAATTGAAGATGCTCTACTCTCTCGGTTTCACCTAGCTTCTATCCAGGTCCTCTTAATAAAAAGACAGTTTGCGAAGCAGCCTACTTAGGTATCGCTGATTCTATTCTGCATATAACTAGAGAGAAATATTACATCTTTTTCTAGGCTGCTGTTGAATTATGTCAAAATATCAGCTCAATCAGAAAACAAACAAACAAACAAACAAAACCCAACAAAGCTGCTCTGTCTCTCCCTCACTCCGAAGACGTACAGCCGATAATCCTTTCATAAAAAAATATAGGAGATCTTGTTTTTTTTTCCTAGTAACCACAGGCAAAAGATAATGAGTGAAAAGCTGGTTTAATATGTGCTCCTACAGAATTTGCACTTCAGTGCTAAAATACATAGATGCTGCATCTGCTAGCAGCCAGGTTCATGTCCTCAGGTTGAATAGCTCTAAACCTTGTTTTATATTAAAAGCACCATGCCTGAGCTTACTGTTAACTGCTTCTTCTAGGTAAGGGGGAGTCAAATGCGCTTTATTTTTTGAAAGCTTGAATCCTGACTGTGTTTATATCCTTGATATTTGTAAGGTACAAAGAAGTACAATAATACACAAACAAAAGGAACTGAAATCAGTACTCAAGTCCAAGAATTTCATGGTACAATTTTGAGAGTGTTCAAGGAAGCTTCTTGTAATAGCCTGAAGAGCTATCAGTTGAAGTGGGGAAAAAATACTTCAGAGAAGGAGCAGCTAATGGCCTCTCAGAGCAATTGAACAAGAATGTAAAGTAGAGAAAGTAGAGCTGCTGTGGCTAGGAGAAACCTCCAGAAACCTCCATACTGCCAAACTTTGAAGCCTTCAGTTAGAACTTCACTGGCCTCAATTTAACGCCTCACTTGTTTACATACCAATTATCACAGGAAAGGGAATCCAAAAGTTCTCCCAGCCCTGGAGAAGCCACCACACTACAACATTTGCATCTTAAGACACTCTGCCATATGCTCTATTAAACTCCCTTTGACAGAAGTAGGTTGCAGCCCCAGATTTTCTTAGTCTCCTGGGAATACTTCCTGGACATCAACTTTCTGCTTTCTTCCAAGAAGTCCTCACTATTTATATCAGAATTTCTGCAGTTCTCCTATGATCATTCCATAAACCAGACATAAATTACATTTTTAATATCACATCCTCCAAAAGCAATGCACTATACCAGTCACCAGGATTTCTTCTTCTGTTCAGCACCCTCAAATATATTTTGACCCAAGGTCAGAGTTCTCTCAGCAGCAGTCAGCTACCTTTCAAGAAGAGCTTTGCACACTACATCTTCATTTCCAAATCAGCAGTGAAGAACTATCACAGAAAATCAGTATCATTTATCTTACTGGTAATACCTTTGCCCAACAAGAGGCATTCAACTGTAGCTCTCCTTGAGTTGACAGCTCACCAGAAACCACTGTCTCCCTAATGGATACTCCTCTCAAATGGCTGTAGCTCCAGCTTAGCGCTGGCCTCACTGCACCTCACTTCTAAGTATACTTACCTGCTCCATTTGGCACCTGTACTTTAGAAGGTCCATTGTTTCTTCCCACTCTATATATTAACACTGCACTGTGGAGATTCTTGCTTTCTCCTGTCCCAAAGTTGACACGGATCCATTGCCTGATGCAGCATAATCCTTAATTCTTCTTGTTTTAGCATCTTGTATTTATTTGTCAGTCTCTGCATCTCTTTGGATCATAACCAGTTTTTCTACTTACGGAGAAATTCTACTGCTCCAGGTTCCTTCCTGAGGAACAGAGTGGTTGTGTTGATTTTATACATTGTATTGCGACAATGTGTATCAACATGAAAGGAAAATGTTAAGGCTTGAGCTGGTGGAATTCTTACTGACACTGCTACTAAGGAGCATGAGCTACAGCAGCCATTCAACCACAGCAGAACCCACTCACACATTTGCCTTTAACATCACTCTGAGTACCAGCAGTATACTGTACACTATGCTATGCAATGTAGTCTACATTCTTACTTAGCTTTATATTCGATTGCCATTATTACATTACAGACAGTAACAGAACAGGTTCAGGCAAATACAGCACTAATAGGTGAAGTATAAAAACTACAGATAAACTGAATGCTGTAACAAGGGAAAAAATGCAGTCTGGACAGTCTAATCACAGATCTGCAGCCAGAGTAATTTCTGATGAGACAGGGGTGTTTCGTCACTTTAAAATAGACATAAGAAGTGCCTGCTTCATTCCCACAAAAATGTTTCCTGATGAATATTCTCTTACTGGTGAAGAAGGTCAATGGTATCCTAAACTAGAAATGGGGGATTTTGTTTCGGTGGTTTGTTTGTTTTTCTGTGTTTTTAATCATCAGAAAAAACAGCAACCCCCCTCTTCAACATTTAAAGAATTGCAGTAACTACACTCAAATTATCTTTTTCCAAACATACCAAATACATAGCTTCAGAAGGCATATTCAGGTAAAGAGACTGAAAAGGAAGTAATTTTCATCACTTCAATGTGACGTATGGAGGGAAAAAAAAAAGTCAACACTTCAAATTATGCTGATTTCTTTTATTGTTTAAATAACCTGTATCTTACCAACAACAAAAGGCACCACAGTATGATCACTTCTGGTCAAGATTTGTAAGAAAACAGTTTTTATTTTCACAGCAGAATTGTCCATCCTATGTGAGACAACATAAATAATAGTAAGATCATTCTAACGAGCAGATATTAATAGAAAAGCTACATTATACTGTCAGTCTCATAATAGGCTATGTCATCAAGCTGTTTGCAGACTGGTTTTCTCACCTAATACACAATGTATTCAATCAACAAGTTACTGAACTCCCAGATATGACTAGGATTCATGTTCTGCATGGAGTCTGATAGGGTAAGCTCAAACATCTTTGTATGAAAGGAAAAAGACGAAAAAAGACAGCTCACGCCTCAAAACAGATTTGCAAATTTCCCCTCTCTTAGCAACCACAATGCACTGATGCCCCTTCATCCAAACCTTATCAAACAAGCCTTTAATAAACAATAATCCAGCACTGTTGTGCATTAAAAAACCTCAAACATCTCCCCTCTGTATTTTCAGTTTTCAGCTGTGTCCCATGTGAACCCTTCCAAATGATGATGATGATGATAATGACGATCGTAATAATATTAATGAACAAACAACCTCCAAACACAATATATCCAACCCCCCACAAATCTAGCAACTTTGAATTTCACTGTTTCCAGCATGTCTTTCATTTGCATGCATGCGAGAATGAGTGTGGATGAATGAAACACCAGGGGAACAGTAACTAGAGGCTAGTCTTCAAATTAACATGATGCAAGCCAGAATCATGTCTTAACTGTGATTAGTGGTCAGTTTTTGTCACTCATGCTTTCCTAGATGACATGTTAAATGACTGACAGCACAAGCAAAAATCCAGTAGCAACTGGCATATGAACTGATCTGTTTACACTGCTGACCAAAACCCACGACCATAATTCATCTATTCCACCAATCCTTCTAGAAGCTACTGAGACCACGTAAGAAAAATTAAAGCCACAACAGGTATTGCCTGTCCAGACCCGCTCAGGATTGGTGTCATATTCACCCACCTCAAAGAGAGCATTTCTAACTACTTCCTATACATACAACAACTTCAGGTTTTTCCCAGACTACCCAGAGTCAAGAAGTTTGTTTTAAAGCGTCAGCTCCGCTACTGCCCTGTAAAGGCACAAAACAAGAATTAACTTCCGAGGCAGCGTGCGTGCATGCAGACATCGCCTTACCACAGCCTACCTACCAGCAGCAAAGTCGGAGGGAATTACTTCAGGGTTTCCAGTTTATTACTGTTCCAATCCCAAGTTCCCCGCCCCAGAGCCCGAGGAAAGCGCGAAGCACAGACACCTGCTCCGACAGGTGAACCAACTGCACGGGCCTGCGCTGCCGCTGCCCCCCGCCGACCCACACCTGGGGAGACGAGGCAGCGTCGCACCTCGTCCGTTAACGGCGAGGGCGCCGCGGCGCCGAAGGAAGGCAGCGGCAGCGCTCCGCACCGCACCTCTCAGCTCTGAGAGCCCGACGGGCCACAGGGCCTCTTCCCCGCTCCCGAGCCCTCCAGGCAAGAAGTGCCATTCCCTCCAGGGCCAGCCGCTGCTCCGCGCAGCGGGGAAGAGGAGCCGCCCTGGTGGCGAAGCCGCTGTCCCCCCGCGAGGATGCAGCCGAGGCGGGCGGCCGGCAGCGGCGCGGCAGGGCTCGGTACTTAACCGTCTGTCACGGTCACGTCCGCGTCCTCGTCTCCCAGCTGCACCTCCAGCTGCAGGGCTGTCTGGCTGGGGCTGTTGAGCGTCAGCCCTGCCGACAGCTCCTCCTCGGCGAAGATCAACTTCACGCTGTAGCGCAGCAGCTGCTGTGTGGACGAAGACTGAGCGGCCATGATCACACCGCCGCCGCCTCGCTCTGCCGACAGGGCCTGCCTCCTCCTCCTGCCAGCTCAGGGGAAGGCGTCTGCCGCGGGAGGAGACCCGCGGAGGAGGTTTCACCCACAGCCCGTTTCCACGGCTCAAGCACCTCCCAGGGCATCGGCACGGCAACCTCACCCCCCACCGCCACAGCTGCTCAGCCCCGCACCGAGCGTGGCGGCGGGCAGCGACACCTCCCGGCTGCCCGGGCGCCTCCTCCGCGGCCGTGCATCACCCCCGCCGTGCTCACGCCCACCCCCTTCCTCCCATCCCTGTGCCCTGCACGGAGGCAGCGGGATGGCGCGGTGGCACCAAGTGCGGACCCCGGGCAGCGCTGGTGGGAAGGGCTGTGCGCGGAGGTCGCCTGGCATCGGGGCCGGGCGTTAGCAGTGGTGGTTAAAGGATAAGGCTCACTAAAGCTCTGATAATTCGGCTTTTCCCTCCCTTGCGCTGCTTCTCTCTAAGACCATAAAGGTGTAACAGCAATGTTGAGCAGTAGGCGTCGTTGTTCTGCTAGATATATTTTGGTTGGTTGATTTGTTGTTAAGATTGGGTGTCCGTCTTAGACCACCGCCCTACCTACCTGCCGGTAAAAGATAAAAGAGACAGTGAAGGTTGGAGAGTGTGAGTAAACAACTTCAGTGGTTGCTGGTCAAACATACAGCGTGCTGCTGTATCCCTCATATGGCAATTTCCATCAAAATTTGACTGGAAACACTGTTCATGATGTTGCTCACCTGAAACTGCTACCCCACTGTGAATGATTTATTGTGTAGAATGCAACCTTTGTGTTTTAAAATTGATCTGTGGAAGTAATAGGAAAACAATTTTTAACCTAGTTTTGGTTTTTACTGCCTACCAAAAAAGGCAGCAGTATCAGTAGGTGTCGTGGTTTAAACCCAGTCAGGTAATTCGTTCGTTCACTTCCCCCCCTTTCTTGCCCTCCCCCTGCTCTCGGAGGGACGGAGAGGAGAATCAAAAGAATGCAACTCCCACGGGTTGAGATAAGAACAGTTTAGTAACTAAGGTATAACACAAATCACTACTGCTACCACCAGTGATAATAATGATAAAGGAAATAACAAGGGAACAGAATACAACACCTCACCACCCGCTGACCGATAACTCGCTCCCCAAGCCCGACCAAGCTCCGACCGATACCTCCTCCAACCCTGCAGTCTCCCAGCCCTTCCGGCTCACTCCCAGTAACATCCTGGGCATGACGTGCTGTGGTATGGAATACCTCTTTGGTCAGTTTGGGTCAGGTGTCCTGTCTCTGCTTCCTCCCAGCTTCCCCTCCTCCCTGGCAGAGCATGAGGCTCACAAAGTCCTTGGCCAAACCAAAACATCTCTATCAGCTCTGTTCCCGAGCCGAAAGTCAAAACACTGCACTGCACCAGCTACCAAGGAGGAGAAACATGACTGCTACTGCTGAACCCAGGACAGTAGGTCTGAAATTAATGTTACTAACTAGTTCTTCACTAATAGCACAAACAGTAAGTTTTCGGTATCTCTTGCTAAAGCAAGTACTTTATACTTGGAAATCTGAACCAAATCTAATAGTGCAACAATATATTCTATGAAATATTACTGTTAAGCTCTCCTTTTGACACTGAAGGCTAGAGCAGGTCAACCAGCACTTAACTCGGCAGGCAGAACCTGTCCATTTGGCAGATACACGAATTGCCAATTGCAAAAACCACCTCGGCATGTGACTAGTGCTGTTAAGTCAAAGCTGTGTTTGAATTTCAGTCAGTTGGACTGCTGTGTCTGCACAGCCCCACTGCTTTTCAAATGAAGAGCCACTACAGTTAGGATCCTGCCTAGTGGGTTTAAAGGTACACAGTTTGGAGGTGTGAAATGATACAAAGTTCTTCCTCTTTCAGACATCGCAATAAGCTTTGTCTATAATGGATTGGTTACTTAATCACTTTTTTTTTGTTGTTTTGTGTTTGTTTTGTTGTGGTTTTTTTTTTTAAAGTCCATCCAAACTTTTAGGAATTTCAGATCAATTAAATTCCCTTTAATGTGAAGAAAATAAAAAAGCTTAACTGTGGTTAAGCTTTTTTTACATTATTCAGCATAGATATTAATAAATATTTTGGCAATTTTTTCTGCAGAAACATCCTACAACATTTTCTTATCCACAGGTAATGCAGTTGGTGCAGAAGCAGCATGGATTTGGACTTGCCAAAAACAAGTGGATGAAGGTATACAGGTAGAAGGATCGTGCTTTCAAAGTCCCTCCACAAGAAGTCCACAGGAAGGGAATGTTACCTTTTACTTGGTGATGATTAGCCATATTTATAGATAAAACATTTTTGTGTTTCACACATACAGCCAAAGTAACTTCAGAACTATTCAGCATTTCCTTCCTGTAGAAAAAAAAATGCACCTTTGAAATCTCTGAGGATAAGTATGGTTGCAAAAGCTATTGTGTGTCACATCTGTGACTGTAATACTCAGATGCTCTCAAAATCCTTTCAGAGAAGTCTGACTTGACCCTATAGCAAAGAGATAGCTGCACCTAACAAGTGTGAGAGAATGCACCAGGCAGCTCTAAAACAAGCAGCATTTGGGGACATCTCCTCCATAAACAAGATCCAGGAGATAGGTTGGAGCATTATTCCAACAGTTAAGCAACACCAGCGTGACCAGCTTTCCTACTTGCTATGTCATGCCAGCAACCTGAAACAGCTTTAGTATCATGCTAGTCACTGGTGGATCCCAGATGATAGAATCTGTCTTCCCTCCATCAAAAGCCTGGGGAGCATTCCATACTTCTTCATCTCCAAGCCTCCCTTTGTTGGTGAAAGTGGTTTTTTCCAGGCTAGAGCTGTGCTATTTCCTTGCTATGATACTTGCTGCGCGTTTCAGTTTTGACTGTTCAGTTTTCTTGGGTCAAACTAGAGGAAGATGGGGAGGCTAAACTTCTAGTCATCAGGAACTGCTGAACACTAGGGAAGTAAAAGAAAGTGACTGTACCATTCTGAGCAAAAGTCATCCTCTCTCTTCCATGGGCCCGTGTTGCAACTACACAACTCTTTCCTAACTTCAATCAATGTGCTGTTATGGAAGCTTCTTCAGCTGTTTTCTGGAGCCTTTTCATATTGGTGGAAGACAATACAACCTCAAGTTACAGCTCTAGCAAAGGACCAGTTCACAAACCCTTCTGAAGTGCATACTTAACAGTATTCACAATATTACCAGTAGCTCTGTTAAACTGTGCTTTAACAACTCAAGTGTTGTAAATATGCTTGTACCAGTATTACTTCATGAAGGAAGATAGAGTCTGAGCACTCTTGTACTTTTGGCAAGTTGTCAGGACTTTCTAACCAACAAATGTCGACAGCAGCAGACACAGCACAGACCACTTTTAGCAGCAGTTTGAGCAAAGGTGGCTAAACCAGAACTGTGCCAGGACACCATCCACTGTGTCCAGTGTGGCTCCACTGTGGGGAAAGGTAACATCCAGCTGCAGAGAGAAAACAGCTTGAGGCTGCAATTTTTTTCATACCACTTCCAGCTAGATTTCCAAAAGTATATCCCAGTTATTAACTACTAGTTATTAAGTAAGTACTGAACTACTAGGTCTGCCCTAAACTCTGACCATCAAAGTCGTGGAAAAGAACTGATCTTGTGTACTGTGTCAGTGGAAAATGTCTGTATGTTCTTACTAGCAACAGTTCTGCTTATAAATTTGCTTAGATTAAACTGTCAGCAGCAGCACACTGAGGTCAAGAATGGGACTTCAAGAGAAGTCCTACTGGGTAGGTTAATTCAGGTGCTGGGGAAGAACATACATAATGGAATTTAGCAAAATTTGGAATGAAATCTGCAGAACCAAGTCAGAATAAAAACTCCATCTAGTCTACTGTTAACAGTGCCAGAAACTGTTCTTCCTAGCCTTGGTCAGATGCCTTTGCAGAAAAAAAACTGACATATTTCACATTGCTTTTGGCATAGACCTTGATATAGAACTAAACAACTGATGCACACTAATTGCTGCAACCTACATGATATTTTACATAATTGAAGTGAATGCTATAGATAAATTAAATACACTTAAAATAAGCAAATATAGACTGTATCTCACTTATTTGATATCATTAAGATTGTGCAGAAAATAACCTTACAGCAGTAATAAAAATAAGCTTCACTTATTACCCTTCTTATATGTGCATTCTCTTACAGTAGTACCCAGTATTTCCAAACCAAGTTTCTCCTACATGTCAGCTGTGCTTCATGCTTTGAGGTCTGGATTGTACTACTTTTGTATGCTGAACTAAACTTTCACTTGTTAACTAATTAAACCATTTTAATTATTATAAACAGCAGCAGAGGCTGAATTCTGCTGGGTCTTCCTGGTAACAGTGTCAGTGGAAACCAACTGTGTAACGTAGCCTGCCAGCTATATCAACTGTTGGCTGGTGTGAGAACCCCCTAGGAGGAGATGCCCCTCTACGGATTGCTTTCCTGTGCATGTGTGCTGGAACAAGACTTAAGTCTTAGTGAGACATCAGCTAGGAAATTAAGTCTTAGTCTTCACAGTGAACCAATTATGAGTATTCTGTAAACATAGATGTGGCTGGTCATTGGTGTAGAAAATTTACACTCTCGTTTGATAGAATGCATTGTAAGAACCAGCATTGTACTAAACCAAGCTTCGGGTCTTTATCTGAAATTAAAGGATAAGCAGTGTTAGGACCACAGCTTACAGATGAATTTCCTAAGAAAAATAAGCTTTTGGATGCAGCTTTTTTGTCGTTACCATAGTTTTGAGTGGTATCCAATAGTAATTTTGGTATTTTAGCACCTATTACGCAGTGGGTCCTCCCCAGTTAAAATAACATTATGCATTTCTTTAAATGAAACACTGCCTCTAGCACATACTAGAGACCCATAAGAAATATGACGTGATAGGATTAGGCCTTTGTCTATATTTTGTGAAACAACCAGAACATCAATGCATTGGCATACTGCAGAATATTTAGAGCAAAACTTCCAGAAGTAGGTTATGCTGGTAATGAATTGATAGCACTGATTCCTGGAGACCAAAGTCCACATGCCCCCCTCACTGACAGCTGTTAATAAGCTGACTCCGTAACGGGAAATTACTGTTAATATTGAAATTACTAAGTATATTACTATCTGTATTTATGAGAATGTGACAGGTACCTAATTAACATTTCAAAATATTAGATTCTTTTGCAGTCTGAGACACACTCATCACTTAGTTCCACTGCTGCTAAATGAAAAATTAGTCTTATTTAAAAGGCATAATTTGAAATAATTTTTCTCTCAAAATCAACAATACCACAATCCAACAAATCTGGTTATATAAAAAGTGAAGCAATTCAGATGTGTTTGTAACAAGAAAACAAATTTATTGATTTTAAAAGACAAGACACAATTTCGTTTTGAAAAACACAAGAAAGCTAGCCTGAGTTCAAGTCTGAAATATTCAGAAAAATCCTACTGTCTTTAGTATGTTCCAGTCATTTTTTTAAACAACACACTAAAAGTTAATATATATTTTTATAATTATAAAAGGTCCCCAGTTATTGTACAGTACACAATACAAATTGCCCACAAACTATTATTTAGCTCCTGCCAGTTTTGAGAGGACATGATATACTAAAAGATTTAGCATTTCTCACAAAAATCACATCAGGAAATACCTATTTACAAAATCAAATACATTATACAAAAAAACCATCACGTTATTCTGTAAAGATGTCTTCTTTAAATAATTAAAAAGTATATTCAACTGTAGTCCAAAAACTGGAAAAGAACATTACATTATCTCACACATACAATCTACAAAAAGTTGCTTACCTCATTTACATAATATATTCAGTCAACTGGAAAATAAAGGTGTGAATATGTCCTAGTGTTAAGATGTTTCTGTGCTGTGGGACTGAATAATGTAATCTGCCACTTACTAAGTGAAATTTAAACGACGGCACTTAAAAAAAACAAAACAGTATAAAATAAATTCAACAAAGGAAGTTTCCTAGAAGGTAAGAAAGCCCTGAGTGATGATAAAATTACTGATTGGTAGTTCTAGAATTAACCTAATTAAAGTTTACCACCTCAGGCACAATTTTCCAAGGTTTTGAAAGGCACTCAAAGTTTCTTCAACAGCCTCATTGGTTATTAACTGTAAATCCAAATTTTCAGTGAAGATGAGTCGAGACGGGCAACTTGCTTTGGTACAAAGTGGTATTTTTCTAGCATATTTTAAATTGTTTAATTGGGTTACTTTAAGATGGATATTTAATATTTAAATACAAGGCAAACATATTAATATTGAAGGAAACTTGGGAAACCCTCTAAGCAGGCTTCGTGTAAAAAGCTCTTACGATTTTCAGTGAGTCAAAAAGAATTGAACTGAGTTCCTGCTAAATATTCTATGCAAGGTCATTCCTCTGAAGTCTAAATTCCTCTTACAAAGATATTTATTATTTCAGAGTAAAATTAATCCAGAACTCAAAACTCCTGTAAGATGTTTGCACCATAATCAAGAAAGTGCTTAAGAACATAGAAAGAACATTTTCCTGATTTAGATTTAAGTGAGGCTTATTTGATGCTCATTGGCTTGTATCGGGCCAATTCTGCAGTGAATTTCAGCCCTAATGAGCAATCTACAATAGTTCTTATCATATATTTAATTACTCAGGGCTTCCAATCCTCAAACATTAATTTCTTTTTTCAACACGAAAAGGTGGGGGAAAAAAAAAAGAAAAAAAAAGTAAAAATGATAATTTTCAAACTAAGGCATATTTTACTTCAAACAAACACTAGGCAGTCACTTTGTAAGTGGCTTTTACTATTTCTTAGTTAAACTGGTAAATTAAACTCAGGTCTACTGGCACATAAAATCACTAGCAGCAATGATCAAGGCATGCAAACTCAGAAGCATTTACAGTAAATTATGAATAAAAAAAGATGTTAAATTAAAACCCTTTGAGTATTGCATTTATGTTAATCAATTATGCATAAATTTGCATTAACTGACTAAAAATGTTTACAACTTCCTTGTACTATACTACTGACATAATTCCATTGAATAACTTAAAATGAAACCCTTTTTTGCCCTCAGCTAGATTTAAATAAGTCTTCTAGCTGAGACTAGAACAGCTGCACTTGGTGTTTGCTGATTTATATTGCAAGAAACCACTAGAAAATGTATTGTACTCTTACTTAGTAAGGTGGTATTTCTATCTGTAAGTTTGAAGAATCTCTACTTGCTACTACACCTGTTCCTTTGTTCTTGTGAGCAGTATTTCTAAGAACAAAGGAGTTCTTTTAAATGGCAAAAGGCTTGTGCATTTTCTAGGTTGCTTTTAAAATTCTGACATTCAGTAGGGGCCGTCCAAACTGTACCCCTATAGATGAAAATGAATAAAATACCTTCATCTTTTAGCTAGCCATTACTGCAGTGAGTTTTAGAAGGGATATCAATGTAATTGTGCATTTCTTGTTCTAGTTTATCAATCACTGCCAAAAATTTCAATGCAAACATACCAAATATTCTGCAAAATTATTCTTCTTCACTAAGCCTTCTTTTATTTCTAAAGATTCTCTTTTACAGTACCAGAGTATTCCAAAACTAACCTATGCCAGGAGATTTTCTGAATATATTTTCTAAACCTTTATCTCCTAAAGGCATCTTAAAGTAGACAACTTCTTATCTGTAGAAACATAAGTTTTATTTTCTTTATATATTTATGCAATAACGAAAAAAAGAGAGCTGAAGTACTGTTTTCCATATGACAGTACACCTCAATGGCAGTGAATATTTTGCCTACATCTACTGAGCCTCCTATAACAAAAACATCCCCATATAGTATACAAGTATTTACTTTAAACATAATTTAAAAAAAACAACTATACTAGCTATTTTAGCTATTTCAAAGTATATGCTCAGTGGACTAATTTAATTATCTAAAAAGCTTTGTTCCCATCATGTTCCTTACAATGCTCAAAGGGTTAATGCAAGGCATTACATCAAATTAACTTCCTACTACTAGAACTAAGCACTGTGTTTATGCTTCTATTCCAGTTTTTATTGTTTGTTTGTCTTAAATCAACAAACAATTAGCAGAGATACTAGAATTCCATTTATTGATTTGTTTTAAACCATATACAAAGAAGATGTCCTGTTAGAGAGACAAGGGCCCAATTTTCAGAAGTTCATACTGCTCTCTTGAATGAATGCTTTAAACTCTGAAATTACTGTTGTATCTTCATATTACTAATAAGTCTATTTTTGTCAGCACTTTTATGGCCATCAGTGGTTGGTTTTGTTTTGTAAAAACATTCTGAATTAAACTGGACTGCAGCGCATCTCTAGTACAATTTTTTTTTTAAACAGTGCAGGTGTCAATTGGTGAGATTGACAAAGACATGAGATCATTTCTCCAAGGGAAAACAAAGTGAACAAAGAAGTTTTTTAGATATTTTAAAATACCTCGCTTTAAATTAAATTTGTATATAGACCTATATATTCCTGAATGACAAAACATTATCTATTTTCTTATTTTTGAACTAAAGGCAGTAATACTGTAAATCATCGTTCTATAGGTAAATAATTTAAAATCTATTTTCCAATTTTTATGGATTTTTTTTTAAAGAAGGTGCTTAGAACATGCTACAGTACAAGAGCAAAACACAGAAACGGCAACTGAAAACAGAAAAAAAACCCTTTCAATCTGATTTATCATGAGAAAGATGAAAATGTACCAATGCATTTTAATAAATACAAAACTTTTGAAAACTGGGCCCTTTTGAAAAGGTAGTTCAACATTACCCATTCCCCCACAATGTTCACTGCGCTATTTGTGCTAATGGGGGAAATGCCTATAAAATAATTATTTTGGATCCTATGTCAGTATTAGATAAAACACATAAACCATGTCAACTCTCATAATGTCTATCCTGTGGATACATGCTACACCTCTCCAGAGCACTAACAAAAGACTTCAGAGCTGGTGTGGCAATGCAACCGCATGCTATACATTACAGAATATGGACTGAGGTATTTGTATCTATGCAGTGTAATGATTACTAAACCCCAACTATTTAATAGCAAGAATGTGCAAAATGTTTTATCTAAGTGTTTGACTAAAATTTTACTAAATGTAAAACCAAAGCAGAAGACCCCCAAACCTGTAAGTATACAATGCAGTTTACAGTAACATAATATTTCTAAAAAAAAATCTGGTAAAATGTTTAGAATTTAAGCACAGAACTACAGACTCCATTCAGTTTTCTGAACCCAGGATAGTTCCAATTTGTTTTGATAACTCATTGTTTTTTAGAAGCTATGAGATACATTTAATTTTTGTATCAGATTTTTGTTCAGTTTTGTTTTGCACTTTGTGAACAGTGAACAACTGAGTGGAGTGGGGAGCTAAACAATGAAAGATAGTCAGGTCCCACCTTTTGTACCAATCTAGATTTACCTATTAAAATTGTACTCTTTTTTCAGCAACAGCAAATCCAACATTAAACCAAAAAAGGACAATAATAAGAAAACATTACAGGTCAATCAACACAAAAACTGAAACAAGTACTACAGTACTAAAAATGCTGAAAATTAAAAAAATGTTGAATTACTTCACTTTATTTTACTTGTAAACATCTTATAATGCACAATGAAGGGGAGTAAATATTTATCACAGCTTAGTTTTAGCATTTTTGGTGAAGGGTACAGATGTGCTGATTTCCAAGGAAAAATCAGGACACACTGATCAATATATGTGACAACAAAATCTATAATGATATTCAGTGCATTTATGAGTTTAGAAATAATGAATATAAACCTCACTTCTTATTGAGGCAGAAGCCACGTACCGACATTAGTAAGGATTATGCCTACATAGAATGAGCAGGATGGGTTCATCTCCCAGTTCTGCAAAGGCATTAAAATTTAATTTTGTACACCAATAATTTTAGGACATTGCAGCTGATGTGCAGCTGTATTTGGAGAATATATAAACTCTAGCAACAAACTTGTTTGCTATAAATATGCTGTTCATTTTACAAGCTCTTCTCCCATTTGGTATATATGACTTTAAAGTCATTTTCAGACACAGTAGATAAACAAAATAAAAGAACCCCTAATTTTCTTACACAGTCTTTTCTGCAAAGTTGATCTTTTTGTGCTCTCCTTCGCTTTTTGGCTTTTTTGTTTATTTAATTCCACTATTTTAGTGTAGCAAATTCATGTGTCTGCATAATGAAGTGTTTAAGAAGAAAAATTTGAGTTTTTAATGTCAATTAATATGGTCTCTATGATCTGTCATTATTTAACCATTAAAATGTAGTATCTTGCTGATACCCCACAAAATACAGAAATTGAAAACGTGCACTGCATTATGTACCTGCTCATTTTTTATTTTTAGTTTTTAAAATTAAAAGTAGGCAAGGGTTTAGAAAATATATAATCATGCTTGGGACTATGGTCAATCTACTTTGACATTTTATGTTGGTATTAAAGCTAGTTTTGCTTTCCAAATTCCCAAGCAAATTTGTAATAAAGTGAAATCCAGCTAGAAATGAGAAAAAATAGGTTTATTGTCATTCTAAGAGGGATATTAAAATCATTTAATAATAAAAAAAGTCCTTTTATTCTTTTGAAGGCTATGTAACCTGTCCTTCTTCGACAATTTGAAAATGACAGGCATACGTTGTTGAATTAATTTAAGAGTTAAGAATAACAAAAAGTTCTAAGTCTTAGCTTCAGTTCTGTTTAAGGCACCATGTAATAGCCGAGGTACAATGATCCCTGATGTACATTCTTAAATGGCAATGGTCCATCTAGCCACCTATTCAAATTCTACACAATTGGGAATAAGTACAAGTGAGGTGTGCCAGTTAGACTGCCTTATCTAATTTTTTGTAAAAATTTAAATCCACTTTAACAAGGTAATATTTCTGAAATGAAAATGATGCAGGTTGCTACATTCCTTGCATTCTATAAATCATCTTTTCTAAGAGCAGCAGATTGAACCACTAGTAGGAAAAGACCTGGAATAGAAGAAAGTCATCCAAATGGAATGTTTTCCTGTATGTCCAGTTCAGCATAAGTAGCACATACACTTAAAATTGATAATAATAAAGTCACTTCTTTTTTAGCTTCAGTTTCTAACAACTACAGTACCACTCAACAGCCAAAAGCATCTGTTCAGTGGCCCTACATATAGAATCATTAGTCTTCAAAACAGAGGAACTGGTATGCAAATATTTGGAACTGTTGATTTTAAAGGAAGCTTGCATTGTTTACATGATGGTCAGATAGTTAGGTACGTTTATGACGTACACATTACAATATTGTTACAGTTCTGTCATATAAGCTTGCTTCTTGCTCACAGAAAGAAACTAGGAGATCTCCCCAACCCTCCAGCATTATTACAAAAAATCCCCCTGTGAATGCTCACAATTTTATCAAAATAGTGTCTTCTCGTTGTCCAATGAAAAGCACCTTTTATAACATAACATATTTGATACATCTGCTGTCAAACAAGTATGCCTCCAGTGTAAATCAAAGAAAACAGTTCTTTTGATATTTCACAGAAGTGCATCAAATTAAAACCCCATCTATTTTAAATCACCATTGTAACTAATAATTAACATTAAAATATTTTTAAAAACTATGAAAAAAATTAAATTATTGTAAGAGGACAAAAACATTAACATTAAGCTTTGCAAAAATCGTCCTTGCATTTGATAGGAAGAAAACTCTTCATATTGAGCGGCCAATGTAAAATGATTCTGCTTACAAAATTTTTTTTTTCCTTTTTTGTTTTTTTTTAACAGATCTGGCAAAATACGTACACCCATTCCATTTAACAACTCCAATAAAATAATGTTCAGCACAGCTAAAATTTGACAACAGTCGTCCTTCGGACTTACTATCTTTATTTTTTTCATATTAAACCCAAAGGGTGCGTTGTGGGAAAAGGGGAGGTTTCATATTAGACTGCAGTATATGTATTTCCAGTAGCACTGCATTGTCTGATAGTCTGAGTAGTTGCAACAATGTGCTCATTATGAATTGGGTTCAGGAGGTTCTGCTGTACTCCACTCTCAAGCACTGGCTGCATGCAGCCCACCTGGAATGCCTGGTTTAGCTCTGTTTTCTCCCTCTTGGCTTGTGGCTCTCCATTTTCATCCAGCTCTTCATCTATTTCACTTTCAACTTCACTGCCCTCATCTGCACAAACAAAACACCACAAAACTAGCATGAAGAAAAAAAAGTCTAATACAAGCGCCTTTATTTTGCAAATAACAGTTGAAATACAAAAATACAGGTAAGATTAGGAATCTGGCAAAGTACAATCTGAAAAGTAAAATTTTAATGGAAAAGGTCAACAATTATCTCAAATAGGTAAGCAGACTTTTAGCCTTGATCACTTGAGTTATACATTGTTGAAACAGTATGTGCGTGAAATATCTGCAATCTCAAAAACAAACTCTAACAAACAATGCTAACTTCATAGTGCTAAGTGCCTCTCACTTCTAAGACATGATGAACAAAAAAGCTATTACTTTTAGTTACTGATATGGAAACTGAAGAGATTTGGAGCGACTTGGATTCAAATTTGGCAGATATTCTTATTAGTTGTGTGATCTGTGGTCAAGATACCTCAAATCACTCAACTAGTCACTCTAGGAACGTATGTCAAAATATGGCATGAAGAGATTATAATGAACTAATTTCTTTCTATCCTTTTTTACTGACAAGTTATCCGACAACTACATACATGAAATTCTGCCTTTTTCACTTAGCAGAAAGTTTACTACAGATAAAATAGATATAAGCATACTCCTGTCTTTCTTCCCACATTACCCTCCTTTGTCTCATCAGATACAACTAAACTCTGTGTAAAAATCTGAATATTTCTTGTGTCAATTATAAGCATTTTTGAAATAGTCTTTATTTTCAAACAAATGTATAATATTCTAATGATTATTATATGCTGCACATTGCATAGATAGCTAATGTATCCATATAATTTATTAATTAATCCATGTAATATTTATATGTTCTTTAAAACATGATACAGCTCTAAATTCTGTTTTACTTTATTTTTAAAACATAACTTGTTTTGCTCAGAGACACATTAGCTTTATACACAGGAGAGATTAAAATCCTTACCTTTATCCATATTTCCAGGGGACACAGCATTTATATCACCAAACTGCAAAAGAAACGATAAAAAAAACCTGGACACAGTCTTAAGCAAATTGTGAACTTACAGCATCCAAGATGGAGCAGATCTTCTCTGCAGCCACATCCATTCTGCAGTAATTCATTTTCCATTTCTTCCTAGTCTTGTAGTTATTAAGACAATTATCACTCAGTAAACCCTCAAAAGTTAGAATGGGGGATGACAAATTTTTTTAAGCTTACTTCATCACGGCCTTCGTTGCTTAAAGTGAGCTATTTATGTGTTGTATAAAGCCATAAATTATGATGGATATTGATTCTGAACTGACAATATTTTAACAAAAACCTCTTTCTAAAATTTCCCAGAGACAACTTTAATTGTCTTGGAACAAAAATGAAGGTACGTCAGAGTGTTGCAAATCTACCTGTGAGGCAGATGAAAGGTACTTCTGAAAAAGGATTTGCAGTCTTGTAACTGATTTTCCTTACATTAATTAAAAAAAAAAATCTTCAAAAAAGTTGCTCATAATCTAGATATACAACCTTCCTCCCTCTCCTCTCTTGAATCCTTTAAGTTTCTTTTAACTAAGAACTGGCAGAGCAAAATGCCATCAATGAATCTCAAATGAAAGGATTACATTATTTAGATAAATACATTTCCAACCATACATGATGATACCAGTCTTTTTCAGAGGAGTTTTGCCAATATGTGCATCCAAAGCTGGGAGAAGAGGAAGGAAGACAAAGGAGAACGTTTTGCTCAGATGCAACACCAGTTTATACTGTCTTAACGTGTTTGTTGGACCACATTCTTACAGTTCCTCATTTATTTCAATGACGGTTATTGAATACACAGAAACATAAAACCACTAAATACTAAATATTTAATGAATATTTATTGATTCTATTCTGCCCCTTTCACCTCCAAAAATTTTATATTACTTACTTCCTCATAATATCTCCACCGTCAACCTATATAAACTTTTTAGAAGACTCTACACTACATTTATGTCCAGCATATACAGTGTCTCTTAACAGGACAAGAATGAAGTGACTGTAGTACTGTAAATACAAGGCAGATATTCAGCAAATACACAATTAGTGGGTCACTAAGCAGAAACAATGTTGTTTTGATTTTCTGAAGCATGTTGTGACACAGAATGTAAAAACTTTTGACAAATAAAGCTTGAGATTTCCAATTTCTCTTCAAAGTATAGCATCTATTTACAGTATTAAATGAGCCTATCAGTGTATCTTGAGGGAAGAACGATAACCTGATGCTAAGTGAATCCACAACATGACTTGCAATTTAACAGTAATACAGAATGTAACAGTGACTTTCAAGTGTAAAAATGTAACAAATCTGTGCCATTAACTATCTAGCATATTTTAAAATATATCAGTTTTCCAGCACTTTTGAAGTGCAATTCTTTGAGGACAATTCATCTCTCAGTCAAAATAAAAGGTTAGATGAACTAATGGAAAAGAGGGATGAGATGAACTTTGCCTTGCAGATGCCATAGATAAGTATGAGAAACTGGCTATGAATTGATACTCTTATTTTGTTTTTTAAACCAATAATCACATTTCTGAATATCAACTGTGTTGCAAACCTATATATAGATCTGTGCTGTTTTTATTACATGTATGTAAGCAGTATTGTACAAACCAAAATTCTGCATGTAAGCCATACTTCTGAAGTCAATGTCACTTACTTGCGGGAATTCAAAACAGAGCCATGTAAGCAACAGTTTCCTAATTTTTTTTTTTTTTAAGTTTTCACATAAAATATTCAGTTCTCAAAGACTGGAAAAAGGTTGAACGTTGATCAACATTTTTCAAACTGTGCATATGAATCTGTGTGCAGATTTGTAAAGGAGCAAGTTCATTCATAAATGATTGTTAGAATCCAGTGTGATTTTAGGAGTCTGACAATCAACCAATAAAACAAGTTTGTAACTGTTGTTAGGTTATATTGCAGAAAATCCTACAGTTCCAGATAAATGTTTAAAAAATTTGCGAAGACACATACTCAAATTCATCACAACATCTATGAACCTAGTCTCTTACATATTATCTTACCTCTCCCATAACTGCAATAGGTGTCTCTCCGGTTGCCTGAGCAACACGATGTTCTACTAAGTAAAACATGTATTCATCGTAAAGCAAGCGGATCAGATGAAAAGAGCCAAAGCTAGCAGCGCTGCGCAAGGTTAAATCTCGAATCACCATTGAGCTATTCAAAAATAGAAAAATATATGTATTTATGTATTATATGTCATAGTCATTTTAAGACTCATCCATGTAGACAATTGAACTCAAAACCACTATTCTCAAAAATAATGTTATCCAAAAATGTCTTATTTAAAGTGCCTTCAGAAAGAGATACTCAGAAAAGACAACCATTTGCTTCTTTCTCTGAAGGAATTGTCAGACACCACATTACATAAGACATTACCAGACTGGTTTGTTTTTTCAGTTTTCCTCCATTTTTCTCTTTTCATTTTCATTGTGTAATACTTGAGCATGTGCAAAACCTAACTTGAAGAAAAACTTTACTGAAAACATAACTAAAATGGTAAGAAAACAATTTGATTTTAAACAAACTAATGCTTAAGTAGTGTCCATTGTGTCCACCTTCCCAGTACAGAGGTTTTAAATGCCATGATTTTAAAACTTTGAAATTTAAGATTACAGAAAGATACGCTGTGTGTACATATTATATTGACAAATTCTGGTATCTCCGGCAACTAGTTGCTACAGTCATTTTTAAAGAACAAGGTTTACTCTGGTAACTGTTTCAATATGCAGCTAATATGGAATGCTTGTCTTAATGTTCTTTTTACACATTAAAACCAGGTTTTGTTTCCTTATGTAAAAAACATAGATACAAGAGTGTTTTAATAAATAATATTAAAAGTAGTGTATTAATTGTGTGCCCACAAAAATTAACCCTAAAAATAAATATTATGCTTCTAACTCAGGTCAAAATTCTACCTGCATTCCTTTGCATATGGCCTTTAAAACAATAAGCAAGAACCATGTAAGTCCCTGTCGATTTGCAAGTTCACAAGAACAGTGAGTATTCTGAAAAAAAGGCACACATTTTTCATGACCTAGTGACCCACCGTTTGATATTACACCTGTCAACATTACTACTGTGAAAAATTCAGCAAATAATGCAACAGTTAGAATATTTTAGAAGTCTATTAAATACTACCTGTAGAAAGACCATTTCAACAGAAACTGCCGTGCTGCTTTAGGAAAGCTGGGTCTTCCTTCATATGGTTTCAACGCTTGCATCATTACATTATCAAGCCAGGCAGCCCACTGCTCCAGAGTGCTCTGCTGTTGAAGAGTCATCTTGAAATCTGTTTCTAGTCTCTGAACCATGTTGTCATCACACTGGCATACCCAGGAAGCCTGCTCCTGTTACAATACAACTCTTGACTTAACAATACATAATCCAAAGCACAGAATGCAATTCTCTCTCAAAGATTAAGCAATTCATTGGATGCAAAGGACAAAACCCACTCACTAGACAAACTAAGAAGCATTTTTTATGTCTATCACAATTTTGTTCAAAGCAAATGGGTGGGAAAAGCATAACATATAAGAGCATCAAATAAAGAAATGAGAACAAACAAGGGAATGGACACAAGTATGTTGTCATTTTCCGTATTAATTTTAAAAAAAGGTTTCTACTTTCCTCGTTTATAATTTTTCTACTGAAATATTCAAGACCTGTCATGTTTTTCTGGGACTAAATGCAGAGCAAGCAGGAGGAATAGCTAAAAAAAACCAAGTAGCAAGTAATTAAATGCAAGTTTCCTTTCATTCTGGAGAAGCTAAGCTTAAAGAAAATTTCTGTAATGCCATCTTACAGAAAAAAGCTTTGTATGTAAACATGTTCTGTTCGCTGACTACAGTCATTGATAGATTTTAGGTTACTTAAAGTACAGCACAAACAGCACACAAATGGAGAAATACACTTTGCATGAAATAAAGCAATTTAGTCAGTGTTATCTAGTTTAAATAAGACTAGCTTGTTAATTCAGAAAGCAAGAGACAAAAATGAAGACTTACAAACTGCAAGTCATATTTTCAAATGCTAGGTATTATCTGCTAAGTTAACACCTCACAACAGATCCCATATCCATGTTAACATACTACAATTCTTGATATACTATATCTTTGGTCAAGTACTCTTCACTGACTTTTGTTAAGATTTTTAAGAATTATGTTGAGACACTCATTCACATGGCCAAACACAGAACTACCAGCAATCTGTAACGTTTCCCTTTCCTGGTCAAAAGTTAAAAATACTTTACTTCAGAGGAACAAAAACATGTGGAGACATTAGGCTTAGTGAAAATATAAACTTCCATTCTCTAGCTAACTGGAACCTAGTTATAATCTGTACTAACCTAATTAGTTACACAGATCTTGTAAATTTAAGCATAGGCGATTAGCTGAAGTATACTAATGGTATTGTCTTTGAAATACTGAAACAGTCTTTACTAAAAACAATGCTGTGCATTTAATAACTTTTAGAGACATTCAGAACCTACGCTATTACCTGAGATCTAATTCTAAAATATTATTTATGCTAAATAGTCTAAAATATTGTTATGCATTACTAAGACATCAGTCATGGTACCCATTCTAAGAATCTACTTGCTCTGTATTTGCATAGAATTTGAAAGAATACTTGCACTTCAAGACAATAAATGGAAATGGATAATGGTTCTGACCTCTTACTTCCCTAAAGTGTAAGCTGTCATATTTGGGCTGAATCACTGCGTATATGAATCAGCAAAATGTTCTCACTGCACTTTCTTGATAGAATAATGAGAACTAAAAGTGAAGCTCAAAATCTAAAAGCAAGCAAGTTATTTAAAGCTAATTTTTACCTGAACATTGGCAAAATCAACACGGTTAAGATCATTGAGCATCTGGTTGATTTGAGAAGTATTTTGAAGCACAGCACGGGCTGCTTGAGCCAGGTGATTAAGAGATGTGTATCTTCGCAGAGTCTGGGCAAAGGCACTTACAGCGGCAACCTATGAAGAAATTAACTTATTTTTAAGTATTGTACTCTTTATCTGTAGATTAACTCTACAGACCTTCATTTTAATATTCTATATTAACAAGTCCTCATATACAACTTCTCTCCATGTACCAGATCAAGTGTGTTCCTTACAATTTTTTTTGGCAAAACTAGGTTATTTTCTCTCCCATTATTCGATGCTTGATGCTAAACATGAAACTTAGCATTGACGTTAAAATGCTACTTCTTTTAGATGCTACTGCCCACTTGGTTTGCCACTGCAAGAACAATACTGCAACAGTTTTGTCTACCTTGGTTTGTATCATCCTCTGTGGAATATTGTTCATGGCATTTGAAAGCCAACCTTCAAGGCTTTTTGCAAAATTGCGAATGGCTTGGGTCAAGGCACCTGTGCATTAAAGAATAAAAACAGAATGAAAAGAAAGCAACGTACCTGTCTTGAAATGCTTTGCATCCTCAGGACTTAACATAGTCAGTGTTCAGTGGTTTTACTTACTAAAAGACAAATCCAGTCTAGGTTCAAAATACCTCATTCAGATATAGATTATGCAATAATGATTTTAGGTTTTGTTTAATAAGAAGATCTAACTTCCTCAACTAACAATCTTTCAAGAAGTCTGTGACCACCAGTATTGTTTTGGGCACTCCTACAGAAGAACATCAGTAATTGCAGCTGTTGTCATAATGGAAATTTCCACCACAAACTTTCAGGTTTCCATTTCATGTAAGCACCTCTATTAAAGAGCAAAAGTCTAGAAAGAATTCCAGTTACTGGAATACTGCAGCTGTCTCAAATAAGCCCAAAATAACCTTAAGCCATGCAAAGTATTCTTAAGCACATATAGTGCTTAAGTATATCACCAGCAAGTAAAATATAGGAGTGAAATATAGGATTCACTGACTGAAAATAAGACTATTCAAATGGCTGTGGATTCTGTGTGTATTTTTGTTTCTTTACTATAGCACTCACAGAACCAGTGAGTGGCTGACAGAGACTTAGAGAGAAATTGAAGTCCATACAGCAATCTGCACTACTCAAAATATAAGTTTTAAGTTTTCAAAGGAGGAGGACAGGAAGTATTTTCCTAAGGAACTGCACCTGGAAAAAAGAAAATCCTGCCTCCTGAGTAATAGAAACCTCACTTGGCATACCTACCACTTGCTCACTGACGTACTAGCATCCACTCAATCCACTGAAAAAAGGAGATAACGAAAAGAAAAAAAACTATGCTTCTAAAGAGTAGTAGAAAATGAATGCAACCAAAAAAAGTGAAGAATAAAAAAACTAGAAAGAGGAAATAATATTTATTTTCAAACTATTTTAGCTACATGCGAGAAGAAACAGTCCAAGTAAAAATTGTATATGTGGCTGAATACTCTGGGTAGAGTAAGAAATTGACACTGATAGACCTTATCATTGAGAAATGCATTTTTCCCATTTGAATTACTGATGATTCCTTTTTAATGAAGCTTTCTACTAGCAGAGTAAATTTACTAAAAGAAAAAATGTATTCTTTATGACATCTTTTTCACATCTTTGGATTTGCAGTGATAAGCAGTAGAATCCATGTCAGTAATTTATGTAATTGACCATACATTTGGATGCTTTGCTAAACACAGTTTTATTTTACAAAGTATCTGTTTTAGCTGAACACACTATGGTAACCGCTGTCCTCTTCCCCCTGCCTTGAGGTTTCCACATGAGGAATAAGCTTTTTCCTTCAATCCTGACGATCACCAATCAGCTCTCTTGTGCTGATTTGTAAAGTATTTCTGTGCACTCACTAATTAACTATGTATTCACTCACATTTTCTTACGTACAGAACACGAAAATGCAAAGCGGAATGACAGACATTTAAGGAAAATATTACTGCTTTTTTACTTTTAATTTCCTTTCCTTATTCTTTTTCACCCAACTATCTATTTGCATCACTGTAATGGTGATCTCCATGAAAAATAAATATGGAAAAGCAGCTCAGGCCTTAAGACCAGCCTTTAACTAGGAAGAAAAAGGAACAAATGAAGAAAATATTAAATTCTGAAGAAATAAAATAGCTAAAATAGTTAATCAGGCATCAGTATTGCACAGAATAACTATGAATTTCTAATGAGCTTTGGAGGTATCATATTAAATACAGACTTCTTTTTTTCATACTCCATCTTTAAGCACACATCTAGCCATCACCAAAACTTCAAGTATCTACATCCTCAAAGCCTGCTTTTAAATTCATCTGGTTACCATAGAAAAACAAAAAATTACTGTCAAAGAATCACATGATGAGTAGGGTGCAAAGTAAATGGCCTGAGATAGTTAAATGTTACCAGACACATAATAAATAATGTTGCAGTGGCAGTTACTAATAGAAAGGTTGATTTGGATAAGCACCTAAAAAGCTTGCGTTCTCAGCTGAAACCCCTTTAATATGTAAATCTCATGAAAAGAGGCTTTAGAGCCTTTCAGTACTTTAAAATTTTGTCTTCCTGGAATTGTGGAAGTATAGTATAAATTTCTCCACCTACGATATATACTAAGTCACAGGCAAGTTTGTTACTGTCCATCCTGTCACTTGTAAAGGTGCAAAAAATCCATTCTAAGACATAATAGCTGTGGTCTATTGCCAAAGACATCAGATAATTATGGCCTTTTTTTCTGACTCAAAGGGACAGCATTTCACTTTTCTTAGGAAAAGGAATTTTGCTAGTTTATACACAGCAATTCTTGCATTCAGTGGGTGCTAAACATTTCAGATGACAAATTTCAGACAGGTTAAAACATAACAATTTTTCCTCAGTGGTCATTCTTTCTCTACTCCAATGATATTTACCACACAGCTAAGTAGCACAGTGAGACACTGAGGATTTAGAAATGAAAAAAGATAAAACTTTAAAAATTATATGCTTACTTCAAGCTCTTTACAAATTAATATATTTCCCTATTTTGAGCAGCTGCTCTTGGTATCTTTCCATTTATTCAGAAAAAAAAATTATACGCACGACTTTGATGAAGCATTTACAATCCCCTTTCCACTAGATAGTCCAAACTTCCCTATGAACTGCTGTTTTCTCACAGAAGAGGATGAATTTGTCTACTTTACTCAGCTCCATAACTGTTAGACTCAACCATTAAGCACAACCAGTCTTTCCCTTTGTCTCTTGTAATGGCTGGAGATACTTTAGCTCAAAAGCCCGAGTTAAAAAACTAGCATTATTTTTAAATATTTAACAGTGAAGAGAGAACTTGCACGAATCGTCATTACCGGAAAGCGAACTGGAAAAAGCCATTTAGTTAGCTAGTCCTAAAGATAAAATAAAAAAATACATTAGCTGTCATCCAGAGGTAACTCAGTGGGTGTACTCCTGAGCAGAAAACAACTGCATGTTTCAAAAAATACAGGCAGAAGTCTTTTGGGATGAATTTGTGCTGGGATTAGATGATATATTTGCATGAAGAAGTCTGATAATCATCCCAAAACCAGGAATGTCAAACACAGTAGGTATCAGCACTCAAATATGAGTGCTAATTTACAAAGAAAGAAATAACATGAAAAGGACCTGGTGCCTGCAATTACTGATATTATTTGTGTCCCATTTTCTTGAAACCCTGTAACGAGGCAGGTGGACACCACACACTAAAGAACTATTATACAAAAATGCTGGAGACTGCTAGGCTGTGCAGGGGAACCAACTGAAAAGCAAGGTGACAGCAGGTCTGATGAAAAATCACGTCATACTTCTTTTCATTAAGAAAGTGATGTGCTCTTTGAAGACAGTTTTAATTCAACCTATTAAATATTGTGATTAAATTTGTGGGGTTTTTATCATTACCTGTTCACTTCTGATAGATTATATTACTCTAAAATTAATATCCTACTTACTGTCATTGTCATTAGACAGAAATGTAACACACTAAATATAAACCAATGCAAAATAATTTCTATAAGTAATGGTTGTCAATAACTGCATGTATTTCAGAAAACAGTCTTCCTTTATTCTGCTACATAGATGAAAGAGAAATTATGTTGATCTTTAAGAATTTACCCTCTCCTTAAAAAAAGGTAAAACTGCATTTTTAAATGACCGACCTTCAGATTTGATACATTTCTAGTTTCAAATATTTTTTGTATCACATGTCATTTACTAAAACCTGATTTCATTTCACTGACAAGCAAAATGTCAGTAAAACTTTTCTGCAAGGCAATACCTGCAAATATTCTTATGGAGTACTTATTACTGATGGAGTCACTATATCAGAAGGGGTGTTCACAGCATAATAAAATAGCTTTGTTAGTTGCAAAGCTACTTAAGGCCCTAAGTTTTTTATTTTTTTTTTAATATTAATCTAACTTTACAAAGTGACTACTGTTCTTTCATGGAGAGGATATAATAGGTAGGAGTTACGAGGTGTATAGTGGGTTGCTAACATGATTTATTTTTAATATTTAGCACAGCATGTGTGAGACAATAAATGCTTTACAAAGGAGTTCAACTTCCTTCACACAGATTAATTTTCTATCAAAAATAGCCATAAAAATGCATTGCTGGAGTAACGATGGATTCTAATAATCAAAAAAGAAAAAAAGAGAAAGCTGGTTGAATGGCAGGCCAGTTATTGACTCTTTCATGAAGGTTGTATGTCAGAAAGAACAGTTAGATTGGAATAATAAATTGGATTAAAAATTTTGGAGTTAAGTTTTCATTGTCTAACAGTAATTAATATTGATTTCAGCAGCTACTGATAAGGAACAAAATACTAACTCTTGTTAGTCCAAAAATGGAATCATAAAGATCATATACATTTTTTTTCCAGACTAATCAAAGATTAATATGTAATGTTTTCTGTAAAACCTGCTGAATTTAGTGGAAGGATCAACTGACATAAGCGCACACTGGCTCAGGGCCACAGGGCTCATGTCTAAGCCTATCAGATAGCCTACAGCCAGCATAAAAGGAAAACACTTTCATCCGGAAATGTAACACTCAAAGAAACACCTTTGATATGAAACTACACCTTGAAAACTAGATCTTCCAACTGTACTAATTTTTTCAGTTACTTTTAAAAATACAAACTATACATCAGCTCTCAGCACAACTTCCCTCACAATAAAATTAAGGATAATTGATATATAATACTTCCCTACCTTTCAAACTAATGCTGCCCTGTGAGGCAGAAGAACACCATCAGCATAACACACACATGCACAAAAATCCTTACAAAATATTTCAAGTTCAACTTACTAGGAATAGGTCTAAGGACATCAGGAATGAGTATCTCCACCAAAGCCTGGTACATGACATGGTCACAGTTACACATCCACTTCAGAATAGATTCATTCTTGCACAGAGTAATCAACTTTGTTTTTGGAAGTCGACTTTCTATTTCACTCAGATTGCTGGTGTGAAAAAAAACGTCGCAAACATATAAATGATAATGCATTCACAGCAGGTATAAACCTCCAATGGGTGTTAAAATGTATTTTTTTGATTAAGATGTCATGGATATCTCAAACACACTCAACAGAACGTCTTTACACCTTGAGTCATATGGAAATGGATTTAAAAAGTGCCTCCATAGCTCTGCTATAGCTCAAAAATTATGAAAAGGTATGAATGCTCCTTTTTGTGTGGGGGGTTGAACGAGATGATTTCCAGAGGTCCCTTCCAACCCTGAGAATTCTGTGATTCTGTGAAAAAACACTTTTACTGTAGTCGTCCAAGGACATTAAAATATGGATGACACAATTGTTTCAATACTGCACTTTGGCATACACTCAGTCTATACAAAAATGTCAGACAAATTTAATTTGAAAAATTATCATATGAAACAAATTATTACTTTGCAGGTAAAACAAGATTTATTCTTTTTTGACACTTCTATTATTGAGAAGCGGTAAACAGAAGTATTTACTGACCTTGTTTCAGTAATAGTGCCATCAGGTGGAGCAGAGGGAGAATAGCGCCAGAAAGTTTGCCACAATTTTTCTATTAGGCTGAACTGAAGATTCACAACCACATCCAGTATTGCCTGAGAAAATAAACCACAAATACAGATTATCTTCCACCCAGGTTTGCCCCACTTCCAACTCCATCTAGACCTACGGGTTTTTTTCCTTCATCAAGTACTGGAACAAAGGCAAACTGTACATTCCTCAAATTATAAATAATGTCTGTTTAAATATCTTTGATATCCGTAAATTATTCAGCAGTATAAACTGGCATGCACAGAGACTTAAGTAAGGTGAAGTGCACATCCATGGAAGTCTCTAGAAATTAGCATGGATATGCAAACATATCAGAGGATTCACCAAAGAAAATATTTAATGCTACTGCAAATACAAAGGAAACCTGACATCTCATTAATTTTCATAAATCAGCACACATTTGAAAGCACCTTCAAAAATAAATTTAAAATATAAATTTTTCAGTATAAAATGTGGCTTTAACATCTCAATATTTCCTTCGAATTGAAAACAAAAAAATCACTTTTTAATATAAAATAAGAAATCATAATTTAACCTGATTCATATTGCTGTGCTAGTTTTGGCTGGAGTAGAGTTTATTTTCTTCACAGTAGCTGGTATGGGTTTATGTTCTAGATTTGTGCTGAAAACTGTTGATAAGACAGGGATGTTTTCATTACTGCTGAGCAGTGCTTACACAATCAAGGCCTTTTCTGTAGGACTGTTTGGCACCCAAATTTGAAGCCAACTTGTGCTTGAAGGTTTCTGAGATAGAAGACAGGTTTGACTGGGATTTGCTAGATTGAATTTATAGCTGTTACTGCTATTTAGCTATGAATTAGCAGGCTCCTGTGCTTGCTTGCCTTACTGTGTATGAAGAGTCTACTGTTCTTTAGTGGCTACCTTTTGCTTTTGGTGTTTGCCATACTGCTGATCATCTCACTCTGCTGTGCCTGGGAACACTTTGATAACAACAATGGTGATGTAACTGGGCTGGCAGACGGCCAGGGCACCGCTGTTGTTTTTGCACTGAAGTACTGGACAGGATGGAAATCCAGAGCAAACTCAAGTCAAAGTGTGGATGAGTCCACATGGGAGCAGGGCACCTAAATCCTCTGCAGCTGTGAATCAGTCCACACCAGCACAGGTACATCTCAAAGCATCTGTGGCCATAGTTATGTCTGTGCCACAGAATGTATACATACCTCTGAAAGGATTGTGACCCAAGGATAAGGCCACAGTGGAGAAGGTACATCTCAAAGCAACTGTGGCTGTGGGTAAGTTTATGCCACAGCAGGTTGATGAGAGAAAGGCTATGGACATTGTCTACTTGGATTTACATAAAGCATTAAGTAAACTTAAGTAAAGCAGGTCCTCTCCGGTTCCAGGCTATCTTAAGGACCTGAACATGCACAAGTCCATGGGACCTGATGAAATCCATTTGCGGGTCCTGAAGGAGCTGGAGAATAAAGTTGCTAAGCCACTGCCCATCATATGTGAAAAACCACGGCAGTCAGGTGAAGTTCCTGACAACTGGAAAAAGGGAAATATAACCCCCATTTTCAAGAAGGGGAAAATGGATGACCCGGGGAACTACAGACCCATCAGTCTCACCTCTGTGCCTGGCAAAATCTTGGAGCAGATTCTCCTGGAAGGCATGCTAAGGCACATGAAAAACAACAAGGTGCTTGGTGACAGCCAGCATGGCTTCACTAAGGGGAAATCCTGCCTGACCAATTTGGTGGCCTTCTATGATGGGGCTACAGAACTGATGTCATCTACCTGGACTTCTGCAAAGTGTTCAACACTTTCCCACACGACATCCTTGTCTCTAAATTGGAGAAACATGAATTTGATAGGTGGACCACTCGGTGTTCCAGAGGGACCTTGACACACTTGTGAGGTGGGCTAATGCCAACCTTATGAAGTTTAACCATGCCGAGTGAAAGATCCTACACCTGGGTCAGAGCAATCCCAGGCACAGCTACAGGTTGGGCAGAGAAGAGATTCAGAGCAGCCCTGCAGAGAAGGACTCGGGGGTGTTGGTCAATAAGAAAACGAGCATGAGCTGCCAGTGTGGGCTCACAGCCCAGAAAGCCAACCGTATCCTGCGCTGCATCAAAAGGAGCGTGACCAGCAGGTCGAAGGAGGTGATCCTGCCCCTCTACTCTGCTCTTGTGAGACCTCACCTGGAGTATTGTGTGCAGTTCTGGTGTCCTCAACATAAAAAGGACATGGAACTGTTGGAACAAGTCCAGAGGAGGGCCATGAGGACGATCAGGGGACTGGAGCACCTCCTGTATGAAGACAGGCTGAGGAAGTTGGGGCTGTTCAGCCTGGAGAAGAGAAGGCTGCATGGAGACCTCATAGCAGACTTCCATTATCTGAAGGGGGTGTATAGGGATGCTGGAGAGGGACTCTTCATTAGGGACTGTAGTGACAGGACAAGGGGTAACGGGTTAAAACTTCAACAGGGGAAGTTTAGATTGGATGTAAGGAAGAAATTCTTTACTGTAAGGGTGGTGCAGCACTGGAATGGGTTGCCCAAGGAAGCTGTGAATGCTCCACCTCTGGTGGTGTTCAAGGCCAGGTTGGACAGAGCCTTGGGTGATTTGGTTTAGTGTGAGGTGTCCCCACCCACAGCAGGGTTTTTGGAACTGGATGATCTTAAGGTCCTTTCCAACCCTAACTATTCTGTGATTCTATGATTCTGTGATTTGACACTGTCTCCCAAAGCACTCCCCTGGAGAAATTGGCTGCTCGTGGCCTGAATAGGAGGATTCGTCCCTGGGTTGGAAACTGGCTGGATGGCTGAGCCCAAAGAGTGGTGGTAAATGGTATCATATCTAGCTGGTGACCGGTCACAAGAGATGCCCGCAGGGCTCAGTGTTAGGGCCAGTGTTGTTTAATATCTTCACTGATGATCTGGATGAGGGCATCGAGTGTGGACAACACTGGGAGTGTTGATCTGCTGAGGCTTATGAAGGCTCTGCAGAGGGATCCAGACAGGCCAGATCAATGGGGCTGTGGCCAGTGGCATGAGGTTCAACAAGTGCTGGGTCCTGAACTTGAGCCACAACACCCCCATGCAATGCTCCAGGCCTGGGGAAGAGTGGTTGGAGAGCTGCTTGGTGGAGAAGAACCTGGGCGTGCTGACTGACAGAGCTGAACATGCCTTCTTGTGCCCAGGCAGCCAGGAAGGCAACTGGCATCCTGGCCTGTATCTGCAATAGTGTGGCCAGCAGGGCAAGGGCGGTGATCATCTCCCTGTACTCGGCACTGGGGAGGCTTCACCTTGAATACTGTGTTCAGTTCTGGGCCCCTCACTTTGAGAGAGACATTGAGGTAGTGGAGCAGGTGCAGAGAAGGTCAATGAAGCTGCTGAAGGGTCTGGAGAATACACTTTATGAGGAACGGCTGAGGGAACTGGGGCTGTTTAGTCTGGAGAAGAGGAGGTTCAGGGGCGACCATATCAGTCTCTACAACTACCTGAAAGGAGGATGTAGAGATGAAGCAGCTGGTCTCTTTTCCCTAGTAACTCGTGACAGGACAAGAGGTAATAGCCTCAAGCTGCACCAGGGGAAGCATGATGGAGCCCTGCTTTCCTGGGGATGGCTGAACACTTGCGTGCACCTGTCATGTCGCTGGAGGCAGTGAATGAATTCCTTTTTTTGTTTTCCTTGTGTGTGTAGCTTTCACTTTACTTATTTAATGTCTTTATCTCAACAAATGAGAGTTCACACTTCCACCCTTCTGATTTGTCTTCCCTAGCCCACTGGGGGGGAATGAGCAAGTGGCTGTGTGGGGCTTAGTAGCTGGCTGAGGTTAAACCACTGCAATTTCCTACTGACTAAACCAAAAATCTGTATGTATAATCTGAAGACTAGTTGCTGTAACGTTCTGAAAACATACACATAACTACATTTCATTGTCAGTGTCTATTATATAATACTTTTTCTCCCCTGTAAAGAAAAACCTTTTTACAAATGTTAATAAGGGGGGGGAGGGGGGGGGGAAGGGAAGTCACATATTACTAACATGGCTGTAACAGTATATGGCATTACTGTCTTGTACTTCACCAGAAGAGATGAACTTTAAAAAAATAATGATTTCCAGGAAATACCTCACAGTGCTCTCGATAAAGACTCTGCAGTGATTTGATGTCCTCAAAGGTAGTACCATCTGGGAGAGAAGATATTTCAATTTCTCCAAATTCTGGAAGTACTCGAGATGCATCTGTTTCCATGACAACATAATGAAAGAGGCTATTGTTAATAGTGCCAGTTACAGTATGATTAAGGAAAAAATTATGGATGATACAAAGAAATCATTTCCAGAAGGTCATAATTTTCTAAGAGAAAAGTTTTTCATACCTGTCATATGTTAAAAGTTATAAAGAATTTCAGCCACATTTCTTAATCAGAAAAAAATACAAAATTATTCTCAAAGACTTTAAAAAGATGTCATGTACATACCACACCTATAAAAAAGCTAACACACGTTTTCAGACTATTACAGGATGGAGGAAAATATCTATGTCAGTGTATGAAAGATTAATCCTTTAACAGTTTTTTCTTGTTCAGCTGAAGAGTTTCTATGTAGCCAGGTATGATGGGGCTTAGTAGACTCAATATACATTTTTATTTGAAATTTACTAGACTTTCAAGTAGAGCCACAGTCACAAATTGTTTCCAAGAGACAGGCTGATAAGAGAAAAATGCTGGACTGAAAGATACCTGGAAAGGAAGACGCAAAACATTTTAATGCTACCCTTATGTTCTCAAAGATTTCAATAATAACAAAATTAGGGCAGAAGATTTGGTACTTGAAAACCCAACCAGATAATCCTACATCTTCTGTAGTAACACAACCAAAGAGTCTTGCTACCTAAAAAAAGAATTTGCATATTTTATTCCTTTTATAGTTATACGATGTGTAATATTATGTAAAGCTCACCACACAGAACATGTAATTTAACTGCCTTTTTGAGCAGTTGTAAGAATTTTGAGGTGGTTATGGTAACTTCAGAAGCAACTAATATACTTACGTGACTTCATATTCAAGTGATAATGAAGTTCATCTTACTTAATTATGCAGTATTATAAAACCCGCTTTCATACCTAAAAACTGTTGATGATGTTGACTTTGGGCAATTACAGTTTGTTCAACAGATGTGCCTGTCTGTTGACCACTTCCTGTGAAGCCATCTGCAACTCCATCCACTTTCTGCATAGGCTTATACCTATAAAAATATAGTGTACAGAATTATCCCTTCTGTTCACTTCTTCATAAATAAGAACATACAATATATGTTCACTCTGATTTCTCCATCTCAAAATAAAATTTTGAGGAAAAGTAAAAACAGAATTAACACATTTTAATTTATTTTGTAAATAACAGAAGCAGTTACTAAGGGAAGCAAGACCATTAGCAAGCATTACAGAATACCTAAAGGTGCTATTATAGCACCACTACCCATTTCCAATTTATTGCAGAATTTAGCATAGAAGCAGCATAAGAACAGCTAATTTATACTAAAAGGAAACAAATGCTTCCCTTTCCAAACAATTTGGCTTCCCAGTAATTATGTAATTCAAAAATAATATTTCATTGCCTTAAGAAAAAACAACATTACTGTCTGAGGATAGTAAAGGCTTTTCAAATCCAACAAACTTCTCTCATAAGCATAGAAGGCCTGAGAAAGCTACTTGGAAACTTAAACTCTTCACTAGTCAGTTCTCAGACTCTTTTATAGAGGAGAAAAATCACAGTGATACAAATAGGAATGCTGATTTGGTTGGTCAAGTGTTGTCTCGACAATCAGTCTTAACAGGCTGAAGATCGTATCTGTCACTTCCAACACAACTGAGAATTCACTCCGTCCCAGATCTTACTGGTTACATCTTGGACACTTTGTAATTCTGGAAAATATTGTAACCACTGGAAAAGAGAAGTAAGAGGAACCTCAAAGCTAAGGTGTGTTTTAACAATCACTCAGATTGGAATTGTGCAGGCTGTGAAAACTCCATGTTAACTTCAGAAATGTGACAAGAAATTTCACGCTTTATGCATTACTTTGGGAACATTTCCGTTTGTTTCCAGTAAATATAAACCACCACTGTCTCATGTAATTACTGAGATTTTACTTTAAAAAGAAGTTCCTCTGGAAAACACCCATTCTAGGCATTCCTGACATGAACGCATACAACAAAAGACAGACAGAAAACACACTTTTTACAGAAAGACTGGTCTGATTAACAAATAGGTTTGTAACTGCTGGAATTTCAGTGCTTGAGAAACAAGAAGACACCTGCACCTATCTCTAGGACATTTGCATAAAGTTTCACCTTCTGCAGTGGTCCAGTGCAAAAGCCTTTGATGTTGAAGACAACAGTGAAACTCTCAGTAACTTTTCTAATAAAGAAAAAAATTACTCTCTGGTGTCACTGAACTTTTCCAAATAAGCTTATTATTACTTGATGAATGCACCTGCAATTCAGGCAGTTCATCTGGGAAAAATGTTTAACCTCCCTCTTATTATATATTACATTTACAAATACCAGGCAGAAGACCAACTTCTGGGAATATTTGTAAATCTAAACCTATACTTTAATATAGTTTCAGTACTTTCTGCAAAATGTGTTATTTTACTGACCCTTCAGCTCCTGAAATGGGGTTTTGAATACATCAGAATAACATGCCTCTAAGAGTTTTTCAGTTATGAAAAAAAAAAAATTAATTAAAATATAAAAGGCAACTTAATCCTCTGGTGCTAAGAATCAGGATTATCCACCTACTTAATCCACTGTGCTTTATATAAAATATGCTGGGCAAAATTCTTAATTCTGGCACTGTAACAGGTTAACTTCTCTCAAGATCTAACCAGTTCAACAGCACTAGAAAATCACTTATAAAATGAAACCAAAGAATGAAAAAAAAAAGAAAAAAAAAATCTTTTTCAGGAACTTCAGATTAAACATAAGGAGATGGTGGTTAACAACTTTAGATCTGCTGGTTTTCATAAGTAGAGCTTTGCCAATTTAGACATCAAACAGTCCTCCAGAATTCTTTAGTTAAATTTGAGCTGTATTTGGTATATGAAGAAAATTGTTATAATTTCCTAACTGGTAAGAGTGACCAGATTTTTAATCTATTTCTCCATTTTACTCACTACTAACCTATACCTTATTTAATCTTTCACATTTTATTTCAAATTACTAGGTGCTAGGAGACTGGGAGAAGAAAATAAAATAAACTGACCTTCCATGAATATTACAGCTTCCTAATGATGCCTGACCCAGAAAGGACACCATTTGAATATTATATAGGTTAGATTAAACACAGTAAAAGATTGCAAAGTCTTTTATTAACAACAGACATTTTTTCAATTTGTGCAAAGGTATTAAAATAAAAATAAAAAAACCCAACACTAAACCACTGAATCCAGAACACGGAATCAGGAAATTCAGAAATGACACTGAATGATGCACTGGTCTCACTTTGCAGTTAATTTAGAATGCAACTTCATTAAGTTCCACAGTCTAACTGTGACATAACTTTAGTAACAGAAACTTCCTCTCTCACTGCACAACAGATTAACCACTTCCTGATTAAAATTCATGTGCAGCAAACAATCCATATTCCTCAACAAGTTAAAGCAGAAGACAAAGTATAATAAATGCCTGCTTGGTTTGAAATGCATATATGAAGTTAGTAGGGAAAAGAAACAGGCTGAAAATTATCAAAACTATGAGAGGTCAAAATGGATTGACTAAGTCACAAGACAGCCAAAATCCAGATACTAGCTTTTTCAGTTAATTTTTTCTTCAAATTTTGTTGTTTGCTTGTACTGCCACCACACTGACCCTATTTGGATTTTACTCTTAAGTCTCAGAATTAGTATTTTTTCTGAAAAATCTGACTCATAGAATAGAATCATAGAATAGTTAGGGTTGGAAAGGACCTTAAGATCATCTAGTTCCAACCCCCCTGCAGGGACACCTCACACTAAACTATATCACCCAAGGCTTCATCCAACCTGGCCTTGAACACCACCAGGGATGGAGCATTCACAACCTCCCTGGGCAACCCATTCCAGTGCCTCCCCACCCTCACAGTAAAGAATTTCTTCCTTATATCCAATCTAAACTTCCCCTGTTTAAGTTTTAACCCGTTACCCCTTGCCCTATCACTACAGTCCCTAATGAAGTGTCCCTCCCCAGCATCCCTATACGCTCCCTTCAGATACTGGAAGGCTGCTATGAGGTCTCCATGCAGCCTTCTCTTCTCCAGGCTGAACAGCCCCAACTTCCTCAGCCTATCTTCATACAGGAGGTGCTCCAGTCCCCTGATCCTCGTGGTCCTCCTCTGGACTTGTTCCAACAGTTCCATGTCCTTTTTATGTTGAGGACACCAGAACTGCACACAATACTCCAGGTGAGGTCTCACAAGAGCAGAGAAGAGGGGCAGGATCACCTCCTTTGACCTGCTGGTCACGCTCCTTTTGATGCAGCCCAGGATATGGTTGGCTTTCTGGTCTGTGAGCCCACACTGCAGCCAGCTCATGTTCATTTTCTTATTGACCAACACCCAGAAGTCCTTCTCCACAGGGCTGCTCTGAATCTCTTCTCTGCCCAACCTGTAGCTGTGCCTGGGATTGCTCCGACCCAGGTGTAGGATCTTGCACTTGGCACGGTTAAATTAAAATAAAAACAGTTCAAAATATACCATTGTGCATACACTAGAATGACTCAAAAATAATGTCGAGGCTATATTTCAACAAAAGCATGTTTATCGGAAATCAAATATGGTAAAAGCATAAAAGATTTAAGGAATGCATATTTCATGTGTGTGTTCTTAAGTCATCTCTCCTCAGTCCAATAAGCATTGTTGAGATATGTCTAATCTACAAGCCTAAGCAGAATTTATATTTTTAAGCCACAATCCCTCACCCTAACCATACTATACACAAAATATCTGTGCTTGTTACAGATAAAGACTGTGATTTTTTTCCTGAACTACTCCATTAGGAAGTTCTTTAGTAGTATATCATGTAAGTTCTCTTATTGTCATTATAGGATATTGTGTCTTAAGAAACCTGTAGCCTGGTTTTAAAGATGCCAGCGTTTGTTGCCCTGCATCTTCAAAAAGAATACCATGATAAAAGTGTGTAATATCCACGTTGCCCATAAACATAAGCCCCCTTTAAAAAGTTCTATCAATACATGATGCTTTGGACTCATAGTGTCTTGGTTTAAGGGTAAGGTGTGACTGAAGAGTACATTGCAGAAACAGGAGAATACGGGAGAGAGAACAGTAGAAAAATACAGATTATTTTCTACATAAAATAAGTACGTAGGTTAAACAGCATCCACAGGAAGTAGTGGTTCATGATTTCTGGTTAGAACAATAATATATGTGTTAGTTGAATGTTGTACTGCAGATTAACAGCAGAGTTATTGTACATACTAAAAAGAAAAGAAAAAAAATGTGCAAAACATGGGTTAAAGGAAGGTATCCATTAACTGCTACACAATGCTGTACATGTGATTTCATTCAAATATAATCAGGGAACATACTACATGAAGATAATGTTAAGAAAATATCACCAAACACACCTAGGTAAGTTAAATAAGGGAACTACCTAAGACATATGCTGGTGCTAAAGAAAATAATAAAGCAAACAATAAAGAAAAGTAGTATCCACTTCAAAGAATTCTACAAAGAATTCTATGAATCTAAAATAATTTTGTCACTGTGAATCAAGAAGATGACAAAAGAGGTGATTATGATTACATAACTGCAGAAATTTCTCCAGAAACAAGTTCATAGAAAATATTGTAGTTATGACCATTGTGGCATACATCTTGGTGCATACATGTGATTTTGAATATGAATGAATTAAATCTGTAAGTGAATGAGCATAAGTTGGTAAAATAAGCTTGCTTGGACATTTATTAAATATCTATCACCTTTTCTTACCATATAATCCTGTGATGATTTTTGTAACAAGGATTTCCCACATGATCATAGTGGGACACATCTCATGTTTCCACACAAGATAGTAAAGACCATATATTTTGCAATGAATATGTAGTTACTGCTGTAACTACCTCTGGAAGTGATAGTAAAACCATTTCAGATTAAAGTGGTATCTGAGTTTGAATTTAAAATCTAAGGTTGCGTTTTCCATGTCCCAGTTGTGTCCAAGGCCACAAATTATGCCTAGTACACTAACTGGAAGTTTTTCAGGGGGGTAAAAGCTCTAAAGATGTCTTGCTTGGTACACTACTGTTCCACATATGAGTTTCGTGAAATGACACATCTTAGATATTTCACTTTAGGGTAATATGGGAGGCCAGTGATATCAGCCAAATGAAAAGAAATTTCAAATAAATGTACTGATTTCCACTTCTTTCCTAAAATTTTCTGTTCAGGATAGTTTTTCATATGCATATTCATGTACTCTTTCACCACCAGAATAGCTCTTCTGTGCCACTGCTTTTGAATACTTCTGAGCTTTCACAGGATCCTCAGGAACAACAGATGCTGAAGGAAAATACTCAAAATCAACTCAGAGGAAAACCATTATGGTCACATTAATTGTTTGCAGGGAGAGGGGATAAACACCAAACTGAAACTAATAATAAGCTGTCTTATAAGCAGTTTATAAATAAAATTATACAGTAATGAAAACAAACAGCAAAAATCGAAATTTAAACTGTCACTACTTTTCTTTATCTTCGAATTCAAGATAGTGGACTCTGTTCACACATCTCATTTTATTATTATTATTATTCACAAATTTATGATTTACAATCTTTCTACATTTTCACAATCTTTCTTGTTGCCTGATACATAACTTCAGTGACATCAGCTGGCTATCTAGCAAATTTCTATTTTTCACAGCAGAGAAGTTTAACAAAAGTTGCATTATAATTTCAACTCTTCATGTGAGGAAAAGTAAGGCATTATGATCTAGAAATATTAATAAGTACTCATGTCCATTTCACACTTTACCTCTGCTTCTGCTGCATCGGCTGTTGTCTCATAGCCATATATTGCATGTCCTCTTGTAGTCGATTAAGAGGAGAGTCTGGCTTGACGCGAATCCCATAATAATGATATTTGGAGTTCCCCCTTTATAAAAGAGCAAAAATTAAAAGAACAGCAATGCTAGTTTTATGCATCTACATTACATTTAATTCATAATTTACACTAACTAGAAAACATTACCCACAGATCAGGCAGGCCTGATCCTCTAGTTTACATGGGTGTCATTTTACCACCTTTGGGAAATCTATTCACTCTCTTAAACAAGTATTTTCCAACATCATAACTCATAATTCACTTTAGTGAGAAAAATCAAATTCATAATTCATAAAATTTACATACAACTTACATACCTAGTTATGAAGAAACACAATTCTTAGTAATTTCCAAACAAAAACCTACATTTTATTTGTATTGATAAAAATCTGCACTGCATTTATCAAAATGTAAACACATAAACAGTCAAAACATATGTAGAATTACAATAACATCTGGAAAAGCACAAAACTGTCTAACACTGAGACAGAACTAAGACAAAACCAGTGTAATATTTGATTTATTTTTTTGGTAGCAGAGAGGTTTCTATACTCATAATTATTACTTGTTTTTGTCTATTATTTTCATTACTGTTATTTAATTAACACAAACCTAGTTCCAAGTCTTCTGGTCCGTAATCCCATGAAGATTGATCGTATGAGTTTTCCAAAGGAGGCAGCATTTACCGGATCCAATTTGTGTTCCTGACAATGTCGTAAGTAATGGTTGTAAAGGGTACTTCTTGGAAGGCTCACTCCTTCTGCAGTTTCATAGTTGTCTAAAAGCCACTGAAGCTATATCACATACAAAACAGAGAAAAAAAACCCAAACATTCTTACTTTATTAAAAATATTTTAACCACACAATATTAACTTACGGAAGTTCTGAAACCACTCTTCAGGTCTATTAAACAATTACTTCTTCCTTCAGAGGTTCCTTAAATGCTAATTCTACCATATTGCTTTAAGATCTTCAGAATTACCAGGAAATAGTAGAATTCATTGCATTCAGACCTCAGATAAGTGTCCACTTCTTAAAATATTTTTGATTCAGTAACACATACCAGTATTTGATAAAGGTATCTATGCTTTGGAAGCAAACTGTTGGTACTGCAAAGAGATACCTAATCATGTATGCAATTCAGATAAATTGCAGAAAACAAACTCCTTGGACTAACCACAGCGACAATGTATTTATTAACCTAGAATATCATACTGTTTTTCTTTACCTGATGCAAAAAAAAAAACATTACAACACCTAACTGAATAAGGTATTTTTAACTCTCAGATACATATAAAAGTTATTACATATAAGTGAAAGAGCAATCTAGACAACATTGAAAATAGCTGGTACATCTATAAATCATTAGGGGTACAATCCTTTTTACTTGTAGCCTGTTTGCCTTTGACTTCCAGAAGGAACAGAATTATATACTTGGAAAAATATTAATCTTTCCATGTGACCGTGGTACGTGTTTTTAGATACACACATGAAAAGTAGTGCACACTCATGTAACACCTCTAGTTGTCACTAATTAACAAAAAGATAAAAAGGACAATTTAAAACTTCTAGATTTAACATTATAGGAGAATGTCAAAATAGATACAAAATAATATAGGTTGAGGATGCATTAAAATTCCATTGTTTTAGGGTTTTGATATGCTAACATTTTCCTTACATTCCTCCAGAACTTGCCATGCTTTCAGTTCCCTGTAATTTTCCTTTAGATATAGATTGAATGATTCACAAATCTAATTTTCTGTTTAAATTTTTCTCACTGTTTTCCTAAGTATTTATACCAAAATAATACAGTGTTATTATTCAAGCTTGCTAGCATCACAGATCTTAGCAAAACTTGGGATTTAATTTGATTATCCAGTGGAAATGCATACTGAGGATATTTTATCTCCAAGACTTGCTACAAACTTTTACTCTGATGAGCTAGATATTCATACATATTTGTCATAATTTTCAATTTAGTCCACCAAAGCAGTAACTAGTATTACCAGAACACAAATTCTTAAGTGACAATAAAAGCTAAATATGTTCTATGTATGTTCTTTGAAGAAATATTTTATTTTAGAGCAGTGCATAAATTCTGTTCTATCAATGTTTACTGTAACTTACCATGCAAAGAATATGAATATTTTAGTGTGCAATAGCCATGAAATGTTTCAGTCCTGATCTTTATCACAAAATTGTTTTGTACTTAAGTACAGATGATAATACATTGAATTCCCAGCTATGTTTTAGTAAAAGTGAGAAATTCATCAATAAAAATGCAAAAAAATTTTTTACTATACAATTCACTCTAGAACATTCAAACACCATTTCCATATTTACTTTTTATTGAAAACATGCTCAGAACTTTTCCAAGTTTTTTAAAAGCAAGCTCTAGAAGAGGTACAAGTAAGATATAAATGCTTCCAAGACACAAAATTCTTAGCTCGGTTTGCAGGTAAGTTTGCATTTTAAATATACAAAATTTAAAAGTACACCTAATCATCTTTATATGAGTTATCATATTATTTTTCAAGTCTCCGCATTCACAACTGCTTCCAAATTGAGCATCTGCCATTTTATAATAAAACTGAAGAAAAATAATAATCATAAACTTTAACTTTTATCTGAATGTATTAAACTTACTTCACTAATGACCTGCCATAAGCCTGTCTGGGCTCAGAAACAAAGGTAATTACACCTTTCAGCTATTTCATTTTATCTGTATTTAAAGGTTATGTATTACATCTATATCTATATTATATACATTTTAATAAAATTTGTCATATATTAATAAATCTATAATTTAATCAGCCCAGATACAAAATGTGAAGTATTACTGCCTTTCCTAAAGGGACAACTCTGTCAATCCTGAAACACTGACAAACAAAAAATTCTTATTTTCCAATTAAGTTCTTTATGTAGCATTAAAGATATTTTCCTCCAGATGACTTCTAACCTATTATGAATCATTTTAAGTGTACTTCAATAATGATATGAATTTATAACAGATCCTATTTCAACCATAACTTCCATTATTCAACACCAAAAAAATCACTAATGAAACAAACAAACAAAAAACAAAAGTGCAATGTGGGAATTTTTTTGCCTCATTCTATCAGGATGAAATATAATTCTAAAACTGAGCTGTTCAGGTTTGAATCCTGGCTTTTAATTCATAATACTGTCCATATTGTATGGGTAAGATGGGTAAAGGTATGAAATATTTACAGTCAGACCTGTTAAATTGACTGTGACTCCAACTAAGCAGCAGTGCTTATAAAATACTTAACTAGCAACTAATTAATTCAATTTCATGCAAAAATAAATCAGGAAAGAAAAGAAAACAGAGAAGAAAGAATAAACTCCTTAAAATGAACACAGATGAATTAGGAAAAAAAAAAATCCTAGACAACCTCGCAGAGATGTCATAGGGTGGAAATCCAAATTCCAAACCCAGTATTGAAAAAAAAGATAAATAATAATTATCAGTGAAAATCTAATTGAACACACAAATTAAATTCTATTTTCAAGCCTATTAAACCCAATTATTGTTATAAATGCCTAACCAAACCAGTAGAAGAGTTTCAAGAGACAAAAAACTTTCTCCACACTATCCTTACTTGAGTTAAAAACAGGAAGCATTGCTTTAAAAATAGGTAAAATATCCACTAAGTTTGATGTAGATTGCTAACATCTTCCAAAATGACCAAGGCTAGGAAAGACTTACTGACACTCTTCCAAAATGACCAAGGCTAGGAAAGACTTACTGACAAAAGAACATGTACTGGTACTTCTGATTTTTTTTTTCCCCAAAGATATAACACAATCAGAATAAATTTGAAAAAGACAGTCAAGAGAGAAATATCATGTAAAATTTCATAGTTGAATGTGACTCTCATTATTAGAAACACATTGTGAGCAACGCATAGCATCAGGAATGAGTGGAACATAATATACTGCAGCACAGCAGCTTACCTTGTAATTCTTCTTGGTTTTATACCAAGATTCCGGACTACATATAAGATAAACACAAACTTAACAACAGTTCAAGTGTTTCAAGTCTTAACATAAATTTCTGACACTTTGCCAAAAAAATGTTATGGACCTTTTAAAAATTACATTTAAAAAATAATTTTTATATTATTTATTTTCATTTTCATAACAATTTTTATACTGTTTCCAGAATATGCATTTTGTAAGCATCCGAGGTGGAATCTAAAAGACTTTTTGTGCCACATTTTGTATGACTTCCTGTAATTCAATTTTCCTTTTTAACTTCTGGCATTTATTCTAAAGAAAAAAAGGTAATTTCACTTAAAATTTCCACAAAACAAAACTTTGACATAACTAGACCCATACAGAAAAAGCCAAAACCCAAACCTGTCGAAACATGTATTTTTAATTTGATTTCTGAGGTACAGCCTCTATGACCACATTCTTATATTAAGACCACAAACCAAATTTAAATTTCTTCTGTAAAACTATAAAGGAATTTGAATGTATGTAATTCATAAACCTGAGAAGGAAATAAGAGGTAAGGTGAATACAAACTAATCAATGTGGCAAAATACAAAATATAAACCCACAAATACTAACAGGAAAAAAAAAAAATCAAGAAAGACTAGCAACTTACAAATCAATATTATTATTTATATATTAAAAATTAATTTGGGGCCTTTTCCAGTGATTTTAAAGTTACGTATAATGAAATCATCACTGTATTACTGGAGATCATGTTTTTACCCAAATATATTTTGGATTTGTATATTGAAAGTTCTTCACTGTAAGATTTGAGGAGTAAGAACAAAGCAAAAGGCAGCTGGATAATACATTTTTTCTGTACTTCAAATTAAGATAATGCTTTCGACTTTTTTCCAGTTCATCATAAAGAACTGTAGGACTCTTACGTAAGTTGTTTCATAATAAACTCTCTACTCAGAATAAACAAAGAAACACCTAAAAATAAAGATATTACTTAGGCATGCTGTCTGTTTCTTCTCTTCCTATTCACATGCTCTAAAATTAATATAGGGTATGGAGTCTTTGATTTGTAGATAACTTTATTTAAAATGTCAAAAGCCATTATTTGAACTTTATTTTGACATTTACACCATAATCCACAAAACAGTCAAATGTATTAACTTGTCTTAACGTAAGTGTAGAGCATGGGAAACAGGTAACACTATGCAATATACCATAAAGACATTTCATCTGACAAAATAAAGCCATGGGAGATGTAGTAGAAATTACAAGCAACTAAGATGAGAAGATTAAGAACAAAAAATAGTAATAAAATAAAACAAACATTTAGAGGCAGGCTAAGCATGCAGAACAAGCAAGAGAGAGTGTATGTGAAGAAGAGACAACTTACATGGCTGTTGAGAAGAGAGCTTCTGTGAGTGGACAGACCATCAGACTTTTGCAGTGTCTCAATCGCCATTTCAATCTGATAATAGATGTCATTAAAAAAAGGACTCAAGACGAGATAGTAAAAAAGCCTGATCAGAGAAGATTTGACAGATTGCTTACAGATCAATAGAAATGCCTCCTTTATGCCTAGCCAGGGCATATGTTCTACCAAAAGGCTTCATTCCAGAGTCCCAGTGAACACAAACCTCCCCAATGAAGCTGGAAAGGCATTTTGCTTGCATATATACTGCAGGATCACAGCATCAAAGTCCATTTTACCTTTCAGCTTGCTCAGGAAATTAAAAGAGTAGATTTACGGGTGAGCTGCACTGAAATAAAAACAACCCAACTGAAAAAAAAAATCATTAATGAAATAAAAAAAAATAAATAAATCCCTAAACAGAATTTTAAGAAAGACCTCCTTATGTTTTCCCTTCAACTATGTTAGGAGGAGACATCCACAGCTTGCAATAAGAACTGAATTAGAAACAAAACTTCAGCTTTTTGGAATCAGAGAATCAAATCCTAAATCCAATTAATTCAACAGCTTTTTCACCATTAATTTCACTGGGACAGGACACCACCCTTACTGCTGCAAGACGCTCTGAACATCCCCAGCTGTCAAAGTAAATGGAAAGTCAGAAGTTACACAGACTGCAGGATCCAGCCTTTGGAAAAGCAGATTTGTTCAGATTTGCCTTTTAAAATGAAAAGCGAACACAGCACTACTAAAATACAAAGTAGTATTTCTTCAAATACAAATGTATGAATACTATAACATCCATTCCCATTCTTTTCTTTTTTTAATATCAACGGATATTTTGACCAGTTTGATAATGACAGCATTAAAGAAAAAAAATTAGAACCTAAGCATAATTTAACTGGGCAGCTAGAAGAGCAAAAACAACAATGAATATGACAGAGACAACAGGATGTGCAGTAAAAAAAAGACATGCAATTAATTAGCTACATTAAATGGCCAAAATGAAAGCAATGGAAACCACCACTTACACTTTCAAAACCACTTATCATTCTCTGTGTAGACCTTTCTTTAATAAGCACTTCCTATCTTACTTCAAATATCGCACCACAATATTAGTGTCACAATTTATCAACATTGGCTGAACTTACTCTCTGTATAGCGGAAACTGAAAAACACTACAGCTGATATTTGAATTTACTGCACATACACAATTAGCTTCTCCCTTTTTTTACAGGGCTACTGACAAACATTTTAGTGCAATAACTGTGAGGAATTGCTTCTTATTTCCCTCTTACAGCTGTTCATTATTAGCTAAAGAAGCCTATTTTTTTTAAAAAGTACATTATTAAAAAAATTAGTATGTAAAAAGTAAAAAAAGATACTCCTACATGGTAATAATGATTTGGTTTTCTTCTTAATATTCTGATTTTGTCTTGCTTTTGTGGAAAGTACTATGAGATCAAAGCAGTCAATCACACAAGAAAGATCAAATTTTCAGAACATGCCGCATGTTAAAAACTACACATCCTAAAATTTGTGAAGTCAATTTACAACCACAGCCATAGTATTTCCCTTCTTAACATAATGGTAGGATCAAACAACAAATACTGTACACACATTTAAATCTTAATTCTGAATCTTGGGTTACTTGTTCCACAATGCTTAGTCCACTGCAGTACTACAGCACTGAAATTACACCTCCTACTGCGCATTTCCACTACTGCACTACTCTCATTTTGTTGTTGCAACTTGTGGCCTTGATTGTTCAGAGAATCAAACTGTTAAAAAGTAGTAGTAATTGCTCTTAAAAAGAAAAGTGGCATTACAGATGACACTCATTTCTTGCTGCCATATTGACTCAATGAGTTTTGGTGCTATACAGTGAGAATAAAAATACACAAACTTTCTTTTTCTGCCATCCAAGGAATTTTTGTTGTTGGGGTTTCTTTTAGATTTCACTAGTATGACCACCAAACACAATGAATCTGTATTCACTTTTACAGCATAGCATAAGCCAAGCAGTGTTAGTCACCACTAAAACATGGTAATTACTTCATCAAGCTCAAAAAAGTATGTCACCTGTATTTAAAAGGAATCTTCACCGTACTCTACTATGGCAAGCTTCAGGAGAAATTGTTCTTACTATTAATTATTTTGTTGGTTTTAATCTAAATTTTGATAAAATTAACTTTCTGCTTTATTTGACAGATACATATCTCCAACAACAGAAACCTTCCTATGTAGGCTATATAATCACTTTTAACTAATTCTGAGCAGAAAGTATATTTGACTTGAGGACAGATTTTCTTGGGACTTAATTATTCATCTTGCCCTTTCTGAAAATTTTCAGCTACTGCTTGTTTTCCTCTACTGGTGATCTTCAGGGATCAGTTCTAGGGTGAGTTCTATTTAATATTTTAATCAATGATCTGGATGCAGGATTTGAATGCACCATAAGTAAGTTTGCTGATGATACTGAACTGGGAGGTGCTGTTGACTCTTGAGGGACAAGAGGGCTTGAAGGGGGATCTGGATAGACTGGATCATTGGACAATCATCAGTGCCATCAAATTAACAAGAATAAATGCCAGATTTTGCAGATGGGACAGAGAAATGACATTTCGCTGTCGCAGATCTAAACTGGGAGAGGAGTTGATGGAGAGGAGCCCTGCAGGAAGGGATTTGAGGGCAGTGGTCAACAGCGGGATCTACACAAGTCACCAAAGTGTCCAGGCAGGCAAGAGGACAAACTGCATCAAACACAGCATGGCCAGCTGGTCAACAGAGATGACCAGCTCTGTATTCAGCCTTTAGTGCAGCCTCATCTGGAATACTTTGTGCAGTTCTGGGTCCCACAATTTAAGATGGATGTGAAGGTCCTTGAATGTGTCCAAGGGAGGGCAACAAAGCTGGTGAAAGAGTTGGAAGGCATGTGCTGGGAGGAATGGCCAAGGATGTTGGGCTTTTCCACTTTGGAGAAAAGGAGGATGAGGGGCAACCTCATTGCTCCCTACAGCTGCTTGAGAAGGAGAAGTGGAAAGGGAGGTACTGAGCTCTTCTCCAGGTATCCATTGACATGATGCATGGGAATGGTTCAAAGCTGCACTGGGGGGTTTAGACTGGGCATTAGGTAGCATTTCTTTACTGAGAGGGTAGTGAAACTTTGGAACAGGCTTCCCAGAGAGGCAGTCAGTGCCACAAGTCTGTCAGCATTAAAGAGCATTTGGACAATGCCCTTAACAACATGCTTTAACTTTTGCTCAGCACTGAGGTGGTCAGGCAGCTGCACCAGATGATTGTTGTAGGTCCCTTCCAAATGAAGATTGGTGATGCAGTGGGTTTTATTACGATATTTTGTAGACAGACTATGAGAGTCATTTTAACACTTAAAATTATATTCTGCATAAATACAAAAGGTAGACTGATGCCCTTGCATTTTTAGCAATGTGCAGTGAGAGATTCCGGGCACAACTAACTAACTGTACATCTGAAATGGTAAATGGCAACAAGAATTATACATTCATTTAATTGAATATGTGACTATTCTCTTAACAAGACTGAAAACTATTAAAATGTTCCGACTGACAACTGAAATGTGCACCCCCATTGTTGCACAACTCCAACTAAACCATGATAAATGTTACACTACCGGTAGGAAAAATAATCAGTTTGTATGGCAACATAAACATTATAAAATTAGAGCATGATAGGTATGAAAACTATGATTGCAGACTTCTCTTTCAATTAATGTGCCAACTGAAACACTGCCTTATATTCTGACACAGTTGTTAATAACTAAGGGTACTACCTGGGGTTAAAAAATTCAACAGAATGATCCCAGTAAAAGCATCTGAAATCCTACAATGTTCAGTCTTTAACTGGTCGACTGATTGGGAAATTATTAACTGTTCCTAGTTTATATCTTAATATTCATTAACATGTTACTAAAGAAAATATGCATAATAGTCTCTGATGTGTATAGCTAGACATAGCAAATACCTATCCCAAAAACATGCTGAAAAAAGACCTGCCTTCCTTTTAGTATGAAGAAAGAAACAGTTGTGCTAATTAACTAAAAATTCAACTAAATAACACAAAGTATTTACAGTATGTTGTTCTGAGGAAGTCAAGACATAAGAAAACAATCCACAGAACTTTACTCAGAGGGAAACTTAGAGGGAAAAAAGAGGCTTATAAAAGGCAGAGGCAAGGACAGGCAGCCTGGGAAGAACACAGGGATGTTGACCAGGAAGCTAGGGACCAGGTTAGGAAAGCTAAGGCCCAGTTAGAATTAAACTTGGCTACAGATAAGAAAGATAACAGGAAGGGATTCTACAGGTACACTGCGAATAAAAGACAGACTAGGGACAATGTGGGCCCCCTCTGGAAGCTCTCAGGAGAACTGGCTACACAGGATTTGGAGAAGGCTGAGGTTCTGAATGACTTCTTTGCCTCGGTCTTCACTGGCAAATGCTTTGACCACACCACCCAAGTCTTGGAAGGCAGATGCAGGGACTGTGAGAATGAAGACCTTGCGCCCACTGTAGGAGAGGATCTGGTTCACGACCATATTCAGATCCTGAACAAACAAGTCCATGGGACCTGATGAAATCCATTTGCGGGTCCTGAAGGAGCTGGCAAATGAAGTTGCTAAACCACTGCCCATCACAGTAGGAAAATCACGGCAGTCAGGTGAAGTTCCTGACAACTGGAAAAAGGGAAATATAACCCCCATTTTCAAGAAGGGGAAAATGGATGACCCAGGGAATTACAGACCAGTCAGTCTCACCTCTGTGCCTGGCAAAATCTTGGAGCAGATTCTCCTGGAAGGCATGCTAAGGCACATGAAAAACAACAAGGTGCTTGGTGACAGCCAGCATGGCTTCACTAAGGGGAAATCCTGCCTGACCAATTTGGTGGCTTTCTATGATGGAGCTACAGAACTGATGGACAGGGGTAGAGCAGTTGATGTCATCTACCTGGACTTGTGTAAAGCGTTCAACACTGTCCCACACAACATCCTTGTCTCTAAATTGGAGTGACATCAATTTGAT